CGAGCGCATGTCCGAGCGCACCCCATTCCCATTCCCTACTTGGGCTCTCTTCGTCACTGAGTTCAAGCTCCGATTCGTCGAGGAGAACGAGCAAGACCACGCCCTGGCGCGACTGGAGACCCATCTGTATTATATGGGCTCCCGTGACGTGTTCAAGTACACGGACGAATACGACGACCTCCTTGATCTCGCCGGCTATACCAACGATCTGGTCAAGGTGACCAAATATAGGACAGGCCTGGATCCGAAGATCAACCAGGCTATCACCACCTCTGGCAACCCTCCCAGGCTTACTGACTACGCCGAGTGGCGTGTCCGTGCGTTCCGGCAGTACAATGCGGAACAAGCTGCCAAGGCGTCTCGAGGCCACGTCCCTCCCCCCCGAGCGCCTCCTATCGTCCCTCGTCCTCGTGCCCCGGTGCTCCCTGCTGTAGCACCGGCAATTGCTGCTCGCCCAGCGCCGGCTCCTGTTGCCCACCCCATCCCCATGGAGTTGGATCGGACCCGGCTCCGCGGTGACGTTCGCCGCACCTGCTTCCGCTGCGGCAGTCCGGGCCATCTTGCCCGTGACTGCCCCACCCCAGCTGATATTCGTCACACCGATGTCCTCGATGAGGTCATCAATCAGCTGGGGAGTGATCTGCTTTCCGAGTTGGTTGCTCGGGTCGCGACCACTGCAGCCGTTGCGGATCATGCGTCCAACGTCGCAGCCGAGGAGGAGCAGGGTTTTCTCCCCAGCGACGAGTGAGTAGTACGCCCTCGTTCGCTTCACGTAATCGTTTCTCCTGTTTGTATGATGAATCCAATTCCCTCCACTCTGCAACAGTTGAAGCGATAGACGTACACCCGGCTCCCCCTCTAACCCCACGAGTCCGTAAGGAGAAGTGGGAACGCAAGCTCCCTTCCTGCTATGTCGCTGCCGCCTCTCCCGGGGCCAATTCTCTCCACCTCCCCCTCGAGATCGAGTCCACCGACAACGCAGTGAAGTTATCTCTCAAAGGCCTGGTCGATTGTGGTGCCACATCCGACTTCATCGACTCGGCCTACGTCCTCGAAAATCACCTCCCCGTTCGTCGCCTCACCCAGCCTATCCCCGTTTACAACGTGGACGGCACGCCGAACGAGGCCGGCTCCATTCGCGAAGTTGCTGATGTGGTTCTCCGTTACCAGGGCCACAGTGAACGCGTGCAGCTTGCTGTCACCCGTTTAGGCAAGCAGCAGCTCATTCTAGGGTACTCCTGGCTCCGGAAGCACAACCCGGAGATCAACTGGGATACCCAGGAGGTAAAGATGAGCCGTTGCCCTTCCGGTTGCTCCACCTGCCGAGAGGAACTTCGCGAAGAACGTCGATCTGCCAGAACCGCGGCCCGGGTGCTTCGCACCATCAGACAAGGTCCGGTTCCATCCATCTGCGCTGTTGACGTTGAGGACCACGAGGACGAAGAGATGCCGGAGCTTTCGCCAGACTCGGACGATTATGACCCTGAAGATGTCGAAGAAGATGACGACTCCTTGGAAGCCGGTGACCGTATCTTTTGCACCCGCTTCAACCCTTCTGAAAACATCCGAGCCACCAGCACCGTCTCTCAGCGACTCGCCGAGGCGTTTGCCAAGAACTCTGCACCTCCTCGGGATTCCATCCCCGAGTGGGCCCGCGAGTTCAAAGATGTTTTCAGCAAGGAGTCCTTCGACAACCTGCCAGAGCGACGCCCCTGGGATCACGCCATCGAACTGGTTCCCGACGCGAAGCCGACCAACTGTAAGGTCTACCCCATCTCCCCTCTTGAACAGAAGCAGCTCAACAGCTTCATTGAAGAGGGCATGGCTACTGGCAGGATTCGGCCGTCAAAATCGCCCATGGCGTCTCCCGTCTTCTTTGTGAAGAAGAAAGACGGCAGCTTACGGTTTGTCCAAGATTACCGAGCACTAAACGCGATGACAGTGAAGAACCGCTACCCGCTCCCCCTGATCAATGATCTCATCAACAAGCTCAAGGGAGCTCGGTTCTTCACCAAACTCGACGTTCGCTGGGGCTTCAACAACGTGCGCATTCGTCAAGGCGACGAGTGGAAGGCAGCGTTTCGGACAAACCGCGGGCTCTTTGAGCCGTTGGTGATGTATTTTGGCCTGACCAATTCCCCCGCAATGTTCCAGACGATGATGAATGACATACTTCAGGACCTCATCCTCTCTGGCGACGTTATGGTGTACCTCGACGACATTCTCATCGCACATTCCGATATCCACCGTCACCGGGAAATCGTGAACAAAGTCCTCCGACGTCTCTGCGAGAACAAGCTCTACCTTCGCGCGGAGAAATGCGAGTTCGAGATGCCGTCGATTGAATACCTTGGGGTGATCATTTCCCACAACCATGTGGAGATGGACCCGGTCAAGGTCGCAGGTGTGGCGGAGTGGCCAGCTCCGGCTAACAAGAAGGAAGTGCAGCAGTTCCTCGGCTTCACTAACTTCTACCGGAGGTTCATCCGGGATTTTTCGCACATTGCCCGTCCTCTCTTTGACCTCACCAAGAAGGATGTGGCATGGACTTGGGGCGCCAACGAGGCGGCTGCGTTTCTTGCGCTGAAGAACGCCGTTACCTCTACCCCAGTCCTGCAGCTCCCGGATGCTTCCAGGTCTTACCGCCTCGAAGCGGACAGTTCGGACTTTGCGACCGGTGCTGTCATCTCGCAGCAGTCCCCCGTGGATGACAAGTGGCATCCGGTTGCCTTCTTCTCGAAGAGTCTTAACGAGGTCCAGCGGAACTATGAAATCCACGACAAGGAGATGCTCGCCATCGTCCGCGCCTTGGAGGAGTGGCGACACTTCCTCGAGGGCGCCGAGCACCCCGTTGAGATCTGGACCGACCACAAAAATCTGGAGTACTTCCGGAAGGCCCAGAATCTCAACCGTCGTCAAGCCCGCTGGTCCTCTATCTGTCTCGCTTCGACTTCACCCTGCACCACCAACCTGGCCGCCTCATGGGCCGCCCGGATGCTCTCTCGCGCCGCCCCGACCACGGAGTCGCTTCGGACAACGCAGACGTCACACTGCTGCGCCCGGAGCTGTTCCACGTCCGGGCCTTGGAGGGTCTCACTGTCTCCGGACCCGAAGCCCCTCTCCTGCGCGACATCCGGGAGGCCCTCGCCGGTACCCCCAACATGGAGGAGCCCATTGTGTTGGCAGCACGTGAGCTCCTCAAGGAACGCGGAGTTCGCTCTGCTCGGGCTGCGGAGTGGCGAAAAGAAGGCGGCCTGCTCTACTTCTGTGGCAAGCTGGTGGTTCCACGCAACAACGACCTCCGCCGACGCATCCTCGAGCAGCACCACGACACCCGCGTTGCAGGGCATGCCGGCCGCTTCAAGACGTTGGAGCTGATCTCTCGGAACTACTGGTGGCCCCAGTTGTCTCGACACGTCGGCCGGTATGTGGCCACCTGCGACCTGTGCTGCCGGACCAAGGCGCTCCACCAACTCCCAATCGGGGAACTCCACCCCACGGAGGTCCCTTCGGAGCGCTGGGAAGCGGTGTCAGTTGACTTCATTGTGCATCTGCCAGACGCTCATGGGTATGATGCTATCATGGTCGTGGTTGACATGCTTGGGAAGCGCAGCCACTTTATAGAGTGCCACACCCGGCTCTCCGGTGAAGGTGCCGCCAGGCTTTTCTACAAGAACGTCTGGCGCCACCATGGGCTGCCGTCTAAGTATGTCTCTGACCGTGGCTCCCAGTTCATAGCAGAGTTCACGCAGGAGCTGTGGAAACTGGTCGGGGTCTCATCGGCAATGTCTACGGCTTGGCATCCACAGACGGATGGCCAGACCGAGCGTGTGAACCAGGAGCTCGAGCAGTTCCTCCGGATCTTCACCAGCTACAACCAGGATGACTGGGACGAGCTGCTTCCTGCTGCCGAGTTTGCCTACAACAACCATATTCACTCATCCACGCAGCAGGTCCCGTTCATGACCGACACCGGTCGACTCCCTCGCATGGGCTTCGAGCCGAATGGACCACGCTCAACTGTGAACGAGTCGGCAAACGACTTCCGCGACCGCATCGCGTCTGGAGTCGCGGAGGCCAAGTCGGCACTGGTGAAGGCAAAGGATGAGTACAAGCAGTACTACGACCGCCGGAGGGTCTCGGCTCCAGACATCAAGGTCGGAGATCGAGTCTGGCTTGACGCTTCTGACATAGCAACAACGCGCCCGTCCCTCAAACTCTCTCACCGACGGCTGGGTCCCTTCAAAGTCACCCAGGTTGTTGGGCGCGGCGCTTACAAGCTTGACCTCCCTCGCCGCCTCTCTGGTCTTCACCCGGTCTTCCCCGTCGTCAAGCTGCAGCTCGTCGAGGACGACCCATTCCCAACACGCCCGGCTCGCGAGGAGCCGCCACCTGTCATGGGCCAAGGAGCTGGTGAGGAGTGGGAAGTCGAAGAGGTTCTGGATGCCAAGATGCGCTATCGGAGCATTTGGTACTTTGTGCGGTGGAAGGGCTACGATTCGTCGCATGACCAATGGGTTAAGCACTCCGATATCTTCGCAGAGGACGCTATAGCGGCATTCTACCGCAAGCACCCCAACAAGCCACGCATCATTGCCGCCGCCATCTTCGACTCCCTTCCGTTCCAGCACCCCTCTGCCACCATCCGCACGTTGCGTCGAGGCGCCGCAATCCAGGGGGGGGTGATGTCAGGGGAACCCCCGTTTCGGACCGCTCTGCCTTCGATCAGGCATGTGATTGCGCTCGCGTGACCTGTCAGCTGTCACGTACCGCGGCCCAGACTGCCGCGCCGAGCGCTTCTCCTTGATGGGCACATGGCCAGGTGCCCCATTGTTCCTATTGTCCCCGCTCCCATTGTTCTGTCATGGCCGTTGTACTTATTATCCCCATTGTTCTTTGTTTGTTACTGCGTGCTCCATTGTTCTTGTATCATATAAATAGTGGCGCCTGGCAAGGAGAATCCCCAACACGGTTTCTCTTTGGATTCTCCCTTGCCAGGTATGCCGGTCTTGTACCTAGCTACCACTATTAATCACCTTTGGATTCTCCCTTGCCAGAACTCTGAGATCGGGTCTCGAGGTTGCCCTTACACACAGTGAAAACACCTGGGAACCATCACACCATCTTATCCATGCAAAGAAGGTCCTGAAGGCTTGGCAGAGGAAACAATCCAACCCAGACACACGCATTTGCCTCCTGCCAATGCTTGAAGCTGGACATTGGGATTACCTCATTCACTTCTACAAACCCAAAGACGAGCACCTCTCTTACCCCCAACAACAACTCTTTAACCCTTATGACAATGTCTTCACACCCATTGACCCTAGAGAGGGGGTAATGTCATAGTTTGGCCACTTTTTCATCTTATCATCAACGACCTTATCTTATCTTGATACGGGTTATCTTATCACAGATCATGGCATCAGACAGTCCGGGTTAGGGGTTCAGGAGGATTACTTATCTCTATCAATCCAAGGCTACATGACACATGCTTCAGAAGGTTCTACTACAACCCATGACCAGTGCTCCACATGGTACATAGTCTCATGACTTGTTTGATGTAGATATGACTTGGACTGGACGTATAAAAACAGTAGCTATTGTGTTGTATTCCCCAGTCTTGGAGTTTGCTCTTCTGATTGACTTCATTTTTGGGTTGATCGTCACAATAAATACTGTAGCTACTTTGTTGTATCCTCCAGTCTTCAAATTGACTTCTCTCTTCAACATTATTTCTTGTTGATTGTCACATAATTCAAAGACTCCCCCCATACCCTCCTACCTCATACCTCTTACCACTATATCCCTCACCGCTACGCCTGCTATATCCTCTTAACCCTTATCAAGTGACTGAGGCACAGTGGAAGAAAAAGTTTCAATTCAAATGGAGGACTCAACTGTTTCATTGGCATTCACAAGCCTTGTGCTAGCATATATATATATGGTGCTCAGAGTTGGGTACACAAATCTTTTTCTGCATCCCAAAATCTGCTGTTTGTAACCCTAATTTAGGAGTAGCCCCGATTTTTCTGAAATAAAATTTTTATTAACAAACCTACCCTATGTTCCTTCCAAATCTGAGATATTGTAGAAATTTACCCAAAAGCGTGGTTTGACATGAAGTTGTGACCGCCACCATACTCTAATGGCAGTTGGGGTAAAAAAAAAAATTGCTATTACCTAACAGGGAAATGCATTTTTCATCGGAACTATATAGAGACATCAAACCGGCACGTGCAACGTCCAGCTCAGCCTTGTCTTCACACCCACTGCGACGCACACGAGTGACCACTCCACTGCTTCAAGTTGCAAGGCATCCTCTAAGGTCCATGGAATCAGAGTCAACTCCTTTGCTATCATCTGCGGAATCCTCCTTAGATGCACGTGGTGTCAGGTACCTTCTTATCCAGCACTTCTCAAGGTCAGTTTCACCCGCTCTCGTTTGAGGCTGATTTCCCGACCCTGTTGCAGTGCCTGGGGAGATAGAACGGCTGAATTCGCTCTCTATCTATACTTGATAATTTCCTTCCAAGATACCCTACTTCCGTCCTCCATATTCGGGTTTGCTATGACGTGTAGGCTTTGCTTATGCTGCACTCGCATCTGATTGAAATAAGATTGCAGTGACGGGAATCTTATTTTCGGGATGGGCGGGGTCTGTCGTTGACCTGAATCCTAAACTTCCTGTCGTCTGGTGGTCCATTCTCGCTCAAAAGCTCTCATGTCTCGGTGCCTACGGTTGTGTGGCTATGATGCGCGTCTCCGATTCTCGTGAATCCGCGGGCTTCTGGACAGTCTTTGTCACCATGGTGCTTTTCGGTTGCACCCTGCGCTTCTCGAACACCTGCATTACGATTGCTGTTGAACGCGACTGGACTGCGTGCATCTCGAATGAATCTTCGGTCCAACTTGGCCAGCTCAACACGTACCTCAGACAAATCAACCTTCTCTCCAAACTCCTTGCACCGCTATTCGTGTCTTTCCTCACTGTGAACTACGACCGTGACGGGGACGGAACCAATGTCCATAGCCTTGTCTCTGTCCTTGCACTGATAGCTCTCACTGTCGTGACTGCTGTTTTTGAGCTGCACTGGATCCGCATCGTATACGATTCATTCCCGTCACTGGAGGCTGAGCAACAAAGAAAAAATGCTGCTTCCGTAATTGGGATGCCATCGCCATCATCCTCGCATGGATCCCAGTCATCGACGATGACACACTCTGCGGCATGGCAGGAATTCGTCAGACTTCCTGTATTTATTTCCTCGGTCTCTATCTCTCTGATATACCTCACCGTTTTGTCGTGAGTCTGCACTACATCTTCTTACGCTAACGCCCAGCTGACTCGATGGTCGCCAGCTTCGAGGGTACCATGCTCGGATACCTCAAAACACTTGACTTCCGCGACGACTTTCTGGCCGAAATGCGTGGTCTCTGTGTTATCACCGGACTCTTGGGGACATTCATCACAGTTCCTTTGGAGCAGAAACTCGGATCTGCTCGCGCAGGGAGCTGGAGTATCTGGTAAGTCGATGTTGCCTGCGTCTTCTGTGTCGCTTATACATATGTGGTTTTCCAGGTCGATGGTCGTGTGTCTCCTCCCTGTAATGGCGTCCTTCTATGTATTCGGTCCTCGGACGGCTGTCGGTGCCTCCTTGCTCTTCGGAGGTTCGTAACTGCCGTGTTCTATAAACGACTATACGACATTCTCACAATCCATCGAAACATATCCAGGCATGGCCTTGTCGCGAATCGGGTTATGGTCCTTCGATCTGATTCAGACCAAGCAGCTTCAAGAAGCGCTCAACTCCAATGCGCGGCGCAATACATTGACCGCAATGCAATTCACCATGCAGAACGTTGCAGATCTACTCAAGTGAGTCACGTCACTCGATCTGCGGCCTATGGGAAAGGCTAATGGTGCTACGCGCAAGATATATCTTGACGATGATACTATGGAGACCGTCTCAGTTCCAGTGGGCTGGTCTCGTCTCCTTCCTGAGTGTTTCGTCTGGGGCGATCGTTTATCTCGCTTATTTGAGGAAGGAGCGCGGTCACATCTTCCACTCACCTCACGAATGGATTCGCAAAATTTTATGATGTGCCTGTGATGCTTCCCGGGACTACTGCGTTACTCGCTTACTGTATGCCCTGTTCCTGACGCGCTTCAAATCGGTCCAGTGATAGCACATGATGATGAGAATGGGATGAGAGGGTATCATACAGTGTGGTGGTAGGATAGTTACAGTATGAGATGGAATAAATATGCACGGGAATAATTGATGTTGTCACACGTTCTTCTCCGCATCTTTCCCGCCAATGCCGTCCTCTGGCACCGCTGCAAGAGTAATCTGGGATGTACCTGCGTGACTTGCAACAGCAGTCGACCGGGTCGCAATCTCAGGCATACTGAGCACAGACCGGAGACGCAATCGTGTGCGCTGAACATGCAGCACGGGGTCCTCCTGGTCAATCTGATTTTCAGATGGAAGGGCATCTCCGAACATGCCGCCGATGACCTCGAGAGGGCTGCCACATGTCTCGACATAAATCCACCAGACGACGAATCCAGAGAATACACAAGCACCAGCAAGCACAAAGTAATATATGCCTCCGAATTTGATGAGGAGTGGCGGTGTAGCAATGCCCACAACACCTTCAAAAACCCAGTCCGAAGCAGTAGCGATCGCCATGCCCTTAGTCCGCATCCGGAGAGGAAAGAGCTCAGCGCTAATTAGCCAAGGCACAGGACCCCATCTGTTTCTCGTTTAATGTCACTCGTGAGAAAGAGAGGGAAGACGCACGTTGCACCAAAGAAGAATAGATATAAGCTCACCCCAAAAACAACACCTCGAGCACCGCTCAGATCATGAAGTGCGGGCCATCGCCTTATGTAGAGTTGCAGGCATCCTAGAATGACCAGAGAGCAAGCGAGTGCCATGCTACCAACGATGAGAAAACGTCGCCGGCCAACTTTATCAACAAAAAGAATGGCAGGAAGCGGCCCAAGACTGTAGAACAGCGAACAGACCCCAGCATAGAACAAGGATCGCCGGATAGGGTATCCCGCGTGGGCCAGATGCTCAGGAAGAAAATGGAGTATCGCGTTGATCCCGTTGCTTTGGGCGAACATCCTTGAGGTGATAGTTATTCGTGTGCGCCTAGGATAGTTCTTGAAGTCCCGCCAAGCACCAAGGCGGCTGCCGCGGGCCGCGTCGTCCAGTTTCAATGTGGCAACAATAGCATGGTAGGTACGATTGACGCCTTCGTCAGTGACGTCGCCCCCAGCGTGCAGGTCGGCAAGGGTCCACAGGCCTTCTGTGAGGAATCCTTTTTGAAGAAGCCACCGAGGAGATTCAGGGAGAAAGAAGGACCCTACAAGAAGCACGAGTGAGACGACGGCTTGCACTGCGAACGGTCCCCGCCAGGCATGGTCGGCCTTGGAGTCAACGAAGAACGCATACGCGACCCAGGATGCAGCCGCATACCCGGCATTCATACATAGTGCTTCGAGGCCAGTGAGCATGCCGCGAGACCCAGCTGGGGATATTTCGACTTGATAAACAGCCGACGTCGTGCTAATCATCCCCGCAGCAAGACCCTGGATGGCTCTCCCCGCAACGAGTGTCCTGAAGTCGGGGGCTATCATTTGCACACACGCTGCTCCGAGTTCAGTACAGTACGTGCCGAGGCATTTGACAGTCGCGGTGGCCCTGTACACGCACATGAGATGAGATACAAGACCGCTCCGATCTGCATGGCCTGGCGCCGTCCTAGAAAGTCGGATGCGTAGGGTGAAAGTAGAGAGGACACGACCGCGGCGGAACAAAGTGAGCAGATGATGATGGCTAAGAGCATGTGAGTGCCTCAGGAGCCAGAATGGGCGCCACCCATGACGCACCAGGTAGGCGTGGATCGACGTGGGTCGTGCCGGTGCTGATTTGGCTGTGAGTTACTGTCTCGCCGTATATGCGATAGATGAAGGTAGGTTGGACTTGGAAACCCGCCGTGATGCCTTGCGAATAGCCGAGAAGCGCGTCGCCCAGAGAGGCGAGACCGCTCGCGATATAGAGGAGAGGTTTCCCGGCGAGTTTACGCGGGTATCGAGTCCTGTAAGATTTGGGTTTTACGACTTGCAGGATTTGAGTTGCCATAAGACATGAGATATAAGAACGGAGGATGCGCGATTGTCACGTGTGACTGGTTGTGCGTCAACTCTCAGAAGAAAGAAACGGACAGGGATTTGACAGCTCGCAGGGACTGTGCTGGCTTCCGAATGTGAACCTGCCTGCAGTGAGGCATTTGAGACCCAAATCGACCTGAGTTGTTTCTCGCATTCATACAGAAGACTGCCGCTTGCCTGCCAAGTAATATTTGCATAAACTTCATAAACCTCATTATCTATACAGAATCTTTGAATTATAAACCGCATAAAGTGCTCAAACGCGAGCGTGCATCTCTGAGACAGTAGCAATCCGATGTGTTTGTGGAAGACGATGGAAACATGAATGTGAAGAAGTGATGGGATCCTCGGGGAGAGCAAGAAACGTAGCAGTACGAGAGCTTTTGGTCGGTGATGTACAGGTCATGAGCGGCTTTCAATTAGGTGCTGATCCCGAGACGCAAAACGAGCGCCTCGACCAGTTCGCGTTCCACGCCAAACTCGCGCGCCAGCTCACTCATGCGCGTACCAGTATCCTTGCCATCCAGATCTGTCTCTTTCAGACGGGGAGTGAGTGATGATTCCATGGGAGGAGGCGACGGAAGAGAGAGTCGCTCGTAAACAACGGCTGGCGAAGCAGGGGGCGCGAATGCCTGACATTGGGATTGGGATTGGTTGTAGTGAGACTGATGGAAATCTTGTTCTTCAACTTCGTCGGCAATCGGGCAAGAATATCCTTGGAATTCGAATTCCGAAATGCCCCGCAATTGTTGTTCAGTGAAGGCTGGACCTGGTCAAACAAGAACGGCGCGCATATATTATGCAACTCACCATGGCATCTCAGGGCGGTATCTACCATGTCCTTGATCACATCCGTGTTCTCTTGGCTGGGTGGACGTCCTCGGAGCGTTTGGATGGCAGCAAATGTCACGTCATAGAGCAAATCACGCAGCGCAACGGTCCAAAACACGCGGCTGTCTCGGTCGGTAGGGAACTTGGCCAAGATACCAATCAAAGCGTAGAAGGGAAGGGCAGGCACCTTCACGAAGCGCGCATCCTGGCTCCTCATAAGCCACAAGAGGTCGGTGAGTTCGGTCTCGCGCATGAGTCCTCCTTCCAGAGCGTCAGGTACGGACGAGCCAGCGACACCAGCCAATGAGGGTGCCGGTCCATCGAAAGCTCCAGCCCAAGATGGAAATATAGATGTCATGAGCGCTGATTGGGAAGAGCGCGTGAGGGTCACCGCTCGAGCCCGGCGACCAGAGCCAAGCACTGGGGCGGCACGATTTTCCCCTCGGAGCACGGAACGAGCAACCATCTCGTTCGGAAGCTCAACAAATGCGTGCGAAAGTGTCTTTCCCAAACGATCCAGGAGGACATATGCGCGCGCGCCGTTTTCCCGAGACATGCCAAGGAATTCGAGAATGGCGGGAGGAGTAATATCCCAAGGGACATTATCGATACGAAGCACGACGGGATCTTCGGCTGCACATGGAGTGGAGGGAGGAGAGAAGGGGCGCAGGAAGCTGTCTTCGAGTTCTGGAGCAGAGGGAGGGCGGACGAGACCAAATGTCACGACAGTCGCTCTACAAACAACACAGCACATCGACAGCTGATCGACGATGTTCAGAGCGGAGGTGAGACAAGCAGGACACAGTGCATGACTGCATGGAGTCAGCAACGCGAGCTGTTTGGAGGCGACAGCACACGAGGAACAATGGGTATACGACCGGGGCGGCTCAGGATCCTGTTCTTCGTCATCGTAGATGGATTCGCAGTGGAAGCCCTCATGCATTTCGTCTACGTCGGGGAGATTAGATTTCAGACCAAATGCACGTCTTTCATGGGCAGGCGCAGTGACGCTTCCTTTGAAGCGTAAATGCGCCGCAAGCTGCGGGTTGCGAGGTGGAGTTTGAGGCAGGTTTTCTGACGCGTACGATAGCGCGCGACGACGCGGGGCAGTCAAGAACGGGGGAAGCAACGGGCCATCGAACGACGCGTCGACATCGCTATCGACGTCTTCATCCTCTTCGACGCGGATTCCATTTCGGGATGCACGAGAGCGCCAGTTGCGGGAGGAATCAGACTTGAGCAGTTCGGGAGAGAAGCTGAGGCGCTTCAAGCGATAGTTGTCTGGGGTAGCCGGCGCGTATGATGAAGGAGTGGAAGGTGTGTTGGGCGAAGTGTAGCGCGACGCAATTGCAGGGGTGGAGTAGCGGGAGGAGAGGGCAGGAGACGTGTAGCGCGACGCGGGGGACGCGACCGGGGGTCTGGGGGAACTGCTGAACATGCTGGTGGGGTGCAGGCTGGTTGACGAAATGCAAACAAGATTGTTTGTCGTCTGCATCAATGTTGACACGGTAACGTGAGGTGACGATTCTTTGTCACGTCATCCATGTTTCCCGAGGTTCCCTCAACTTCAGCACGCCCACTTTATCCAGGATTCGTTGAACAACTCTTCATCATATCTGGTTGCTACCCACGAATGGTCGTTTGCTATTGGCCGGCTTATGTATAAGCGAGCTGTCTGGAACTGCAGAGTTCGTCGAACCATGCAACAATCTTAGCCCAGGGACATCGGCCCATGAATTTATGGCTTAGCTCATGTATGTCCTGTGATTTACTTCGGCTTCTAATCCATAGCATGTGCATGATGCGAGTCTCTGTATCTCATGTGGCACCCCGTGCAGCTTGTACTCCAAAGCACCACCCTCCCAAGGATCCTCTCCAGCTCGAAGGGCGCTGCAGGATCTGTTCAATCAAACCCCGATATCCAGGGCCTAGGCTTTTCTCCGAGACGAGTACACAAGCTAGGGGAGGGGGATTTAGCACCTTCATCAGCGCCCACCGTTCGAGGCGAGTGCCGTCATATCTATTCTCGCTAAACGGCATGCTGAGGTGCTTCACTCATTCTCGATGGCGGTGTCTCTTCTCAGTGATCCAGAATTCATGCTACCTGTCCGCCTGCTGAGCCCTCAATGACAGATTCATGTCCCCTGTCAAGATTGAGTTTCCAGGCACCCCACCCAGGTGTTCGTTCCTGTCTCAATGCCAGAGGCAGTCGAGTTCCAAGTCAAGACCGGAAATCAGGTTTCAAGATTACCAAGGTCGGCAGTCAACGGCAAATCTCCCCGTTGCGCGACTGGCGTAGAGGTGCTCCGATCTCACAGCACGCTTGAACGCGGGCGGAATGTCGTAGAATGTGTCGCATATACTCCAGTGTATGACCGATCGCGAAGCGCGTGTGGAGCTCGGGGGTTCTTCATTCGCCAGCGCTGCTGTGCAGCGTTGCACTCTCTCTTGCCCAATCTTCTAGTGGCATGCCATGAGAAATCTGGCAAGCACATGCGTAATCGAAAAGGATTGATTCATGTACCGTTCCCTGCAATGTGACATTTCTTTCGCTTTTACGTCCAGCCGTTCATTCCTTGAGTCAGTAAGCTGTACGACCTGTAAGAATCATCGCATTCCAGCTGGCAACATAAGATGATGTGATTGATGCCTCGGGCTTTGATAATTGGATTGGAAACTGACATGCGGGTTGTTGCGCGATCACATGACTGACATTGACGCGCCGACAAGAGCACGGCGATCTGATGTCTGGAAAGCATCCAATTCGAAGAATAACTACCACCCCTTCCAAGGAACCCACACGTCTACGACGGTCCTGCCGCCGTTCTCGACAATGTAATACCATGGATAAGCAGCGGCAATCAAGCACGCATGCTGCCCGACGATCTCTACAATCTCACCAAGCGCGAGAGTGGAAGGTTGCGGTGCAGTCGGAACTAGGATTCCATGCTCTTGGGAGATGCGGCTGAGCTTCCACGTCTTTCCCACGACGTCGCCGTAACCCCCGCTAGGGCCTGTGTCTTTGCTCATTGCGATACCACCCGCGTCGCACATGGCCTCGTCCGTTCCATCGACCCCACGACCTGGATAGAGGGAAATGACAGTGGCGAGAACCTTGTGAGAGATCCGATCATCGGAGACGAGCGATGTGTGTTTCTGCTGTAGGTCGTTCATCGGATAGTTGCCTGCATGTATGTGAGCTGCGGCCATGGATCTCACAAAGGAACACGCCTGCGTGAAGCTCCAGCGTCCCATTCAGGAGCGTAGAAAGAGCTCCCCGGGCCTCTACAGTCGCCGCGTGCGCAGTCGGAGTCGATCCGACCGAGAGAACGAACGGTTGGTTGTGCGCCTCGGCATTAGACGACGCAGCTAAAAGAGGAAGCGCGATCTTCGCCGCATCGTTGACTGCATGAATTTCTGAGGACAGGAACGACTCCGCCTCCGCGGCGTTCGTCGAGCCATAGGAGTTACCGGCGTGGATGTAAAATCCATACACAGACACCGAGGGAGAGTCGAACGCCGCCTTGAGAAACGACTCGAACCTCGGCGTCGACATGGACAGTCCTGCGCGTCTGGATCCCGTTGATGCTAATCAAAGCCATTATCGAATGATGGGTACCCACTTTTGACCTCCGTCGATCTTCACAAACACCGACCACTTCCGAGGTGAGGCGCGGTCTTTTTCAAACTTCTCGAGAAACTTGATCTGATCCTCATGATCCACTATGAGGCGTACGACACCATCGTACTTGGCAAACTCATCCCAGAGATCTGAGAGATCAGCCACCTTGTTCAGACCAACGGGCAATCCGTAGAGAAGCTGACGCGAGATGTTGAGCCACGATCACAAAACCCGGAAAGATCGACGCACATCTTTGACCGTCCCATCCTTGACCAATCCAGCTTCGACGACGTTCCAAGCTTCCATCAATGTAGAAACGATCACAGCATGGGTCTTGCCATCGAGTTGCAATCGCGCACCCTCGGCCGTCTAGACCGGCGTGAGCGTCTCATCGAAGCGTTTGAAGGAGGCGTGTAGAGAACGCGCCTTGTGTGTCTTGAGATGGCACCGCAGCGCAGCACCCCAGTCACCGGAGCTCTGGAGCATTTTGACGCAATTGGATTGGAAGACACTTCGATCGATGACCATCGCCGGAGTCCGCAGAGCTTCCAGCGGTTTCCCGACAAACTCTCGCACCAGTGCCTCTTTTTCAGGCAGCCGACTTAGGCCATATGCCGTGCGTGTTTGACTGAGCGGGGAAGACATGCTGATGGGAATCCTTGGAAGTAGGTGAGTATTCGAGTCGAATTCCGTTTGTATAACACCTCTACGTGCCTTGGATTTATAGCCTGGAGAACGGCGAGCTCGTTGAAGATCTTGTCTGTTCGAGCGTGTAGTTCGAATGGCTCTGGAGGTCGAGTCACTTGCGTTTGTGAATTCTCTGATATAGCATGTACTGCCACCAATCATGTGTCGATCATCGGTTCGTGCCAACAACTCTACTCGGGTCGCGCGAGAGGCGTAGTACTTGCCAGCTAGTTCCCGCCTGGAGTCCGGGAGCCCTGATTACGCAGGCTAATAAGCCCTCTTTTGTTCTCCCTCGTCAACAGTGGTGTTGATAATTGGACGTCGGAAATCGGCTCTTGTGCTGACAATTCGGATTGATCGGCCGACGGGAGCTGCGAAGCGTGCGGTGAGCCACTGAGCCTCACACTCGTAAAAAAGGATTGTTAAAGTTCACGTATTGTACTGGACATTTGCGAGGGATTTTTTTAGACTTATGCACAAGAGTACTCACTCACTTATGTATATACAAAGTTCATGAGCGCAGTGGACAGGCACATGTTTTACGAGATGGTGGTCCAAGGGGCGGCGGCGGCCAATTTTGAGCATGGAGAGGCTCTGAAGGATCATGTAGAAAGAGATAGCACTGGCAAATTTCTCCGATAGTGATTGCAGCAGATATGACGCAGGGAGCATAGCGCTTTACAGCCACCGCTTGGTCGTTGAACGTTGAACGCTGAAGCATCTGGTTGTCATTTTGAATGCTTCATTGCTTGAGGAGTACATATGGATACCGGGTCCATGAACGCTCCGGTTCAAATTTTGAGTCAACTGCAAAGTTTGAAGTCAACATTAACATTGTTGAGCCAAAGCCAAAGCGCGGTATCACGTGCGACCGTCCCACATCACCCCAAACCACACCCGTCATTTGAAAAGTCTGCGGTCACAAACCTTCTTCGGTCACTCCAGACTAGGTCCCCTGCATCTTTCTCGCGGTCAAGAGCGCGTCCGGATGATACAAGAGGCAAACACCGAGTGGCATTGATATCAACTACACGTGCTGTCCGCGATCGGGCCACAGTGGGCAAGTGCTCGGTTGCCATCTAGTCTCACATTATAAGGACCCCGAAGAACGCCGCCGCCGCCAAAGCTATGGCACGCCCTCAGGTATCTGTCCACGACAAGGTCTGTCTTCGCAGTCCTCCTGCTCCAGTCAAATTTGACAGCAATCTGTCAGACGAGTTACAATATCCATCCAACCCCACCGTCCCCGTCTCGCCTCAACTCTCCTTCCCCACCCTCTCTCTCATCATCACATTCAAACTCGGCGAGTTCCTCTGCAGAGCCCTCAACTCCACCACCCAGATCCAATGCTCGCGGTCGCACGCGCAAACTATACCCAGAATCAATCGGACGCGTGCCTTTGCATCGCCGAGGGACATCCAAGACCTACGAGCGTCTTGAAGATCTTTTACGTGAAGCCGGATACAAGGAAACACGAATATTCACTCCAGAAACGGAACGCACGGCTCCCCCAGACGACACCAAAAGTCCGACGTTGGGTGCGACTGTCGTCGGATTCCTTTCGAATTTGGTGCCCAGCCGTTCTTCCAGCGTGCGGAGAGGGGACGAATCGGAATCTGAGTCGGTCACACCTGCTTATTCACCACCCAAATCGCCATTGCAGGGTCGCACTCCCACGATTGATGCCACTCCGAGCTCGACTTCCGCATCCCATCATCCTCGGCGGAACAGCCATGTTCCCGTTATCGGACCTCGGGCCAGCAGCCCCAGTCTTCGCTCCTCCCGACGGAATGATAACGGCGGCGACGACGTTCCGGGCACAATGACCCTCCGGCGAAGTTACGCCGATTTGCAGGTTCACCGCCAACGCACTGTGGAGTCCGCCGTTGTATCTCCACTATCGCAAGGTGATGGCGTGCATCATCCAGCGCCGCAGCGAACTGTCAACCGGTACTATCAGCATCTCCCATCTTCCTCCAACTCCGGGAGTGGCACCGCCTCCCCACCACCTGTGCATCTTCCGACTCCGACGAGAGCTTCGGCATACCTGCGCCACATGACATCCTATGAGCGACCGCAGAGCACCCCGCCGGGTTTCACTCGGATTGTGGACAACGCGGCCGAGGAAACGCCGAACCCGGCGCGTCCCCCGCGCATGCCTTCGAATTGGATGGACAACGTGAAGCGCGCGCGGGAGTACTTCGGGACCCCGCTGCCACCTATATCCGGCTCGCCCGTCAGATTAGAGCGTAGCGTCTCTGCGCGAGGCCGAACAAACGACCGCAATGGTAGCCTTGCACCGCCACTGCTTACGGCGCGATTGACCAGCGGACGGGCACGCCGAAGCGAGAGTCAGGTCAGCGTCGGGCGCGTGGTCTGTCGTAGCCGAGGTTCCTCGCCTGTGCGGAGGGAGAAGGGGAAAGGCCGAGCGACCGAGGCTCGGCTTGACCTGGAAGGGCATTTCGAGTTACCGGATTCAGATGAGGATTCGCGCTCACGGTTTCTCAGCGGCTGGGGCGTCGATGCTACTGCAGTCAGTGCCCAGCTTCTATCTCCTCCTCGACGGCGCGAGCCGCGCGATCTGGAGTCGACGAGCGACGTCTCGTCTGAGGGCGAAGATGAGATTACTCTGGCGCGGATTCTCGTGCCTTCTCGAGCTGGTCCCATCGAACGAAGTCGGTCCATCCGCAGTCTGCGCATGTGTTTAGAGCGTGGTGCACAGCAAACAGAGCCCATCCCGCCTGTTCCACCGCTCCCGGCTGACGCATTGCCCAGTGGGTCTGGGCGGTGGAGTGTCAGCTTGAGCTGGGGCCGCGCGCGTGGTGCCGCCGAGCAGGAAGATCCGACGCCGTTCTCGGACTCGCGCCAGGGCTCGCTACGCAGGCGGAGTGGCCTGCCTTCTTGGGAAAGTTGAAGTATATCCAGCATATTCTCTCTTTTATGGAACCACATCATTCTCTCTCTAATCGCGCACTTTTTACTTTACCCGGAAGGTTAATGCAAGTCCAAATTGTATTATAGAAATCTCTCAATGCATGCCCTCTTTTATCTGTACATTGAGTGCCCTCTTAGAGTCCCGCAGCCCTACGTCAGAATGCGGGGTCAGTCGATCAAAATTTGCGGGCCACATCTTGGCACCATCTACCATCTCGATGCAGGCTCCTCAGCGTCCATCGTTTCTGCCGCGCGGTTTGACAAACAGCTCCGCGGCGAGCTCGTCGAGCGCACCTCTCTCTGCCTCCGCGTCAACGGCCTCGGCCTCCAAATCCGCCACCATGCACGTTAAACGTGTTACGCTCACTTCAAAGAAGAACTGGTGGATGGGTGTGTGCTCCGTACCAATAACGGTGGTCATCGCTCATGGACTGGATCGTGGAAAGTGGAAATGGATGAAGAGGAGCAGGCACCGCCCGATCTCGCGACGTACACCTCCGAAGCCGTGACGGTGGTGGACCGAGACAACATCGAATCGTTCTACAACTACGACCACCACCCATCCGACGTGCACCATTCAGAACAGAAGATACGACAGCAAGCCACGCCCGTGCCGACACAGCCGATCTACAACCCGCTGCGCCATCCCAATTCGCTGTTTTCGTTCCCCACGCCGCTCGCGTATACCGCGCCGAAATCGACGTCCAACCCCACCGCGAGTCTGTCCCCGTGCGCGTATGGATCTGCATCGGAGCTGTTCAAGTGTATAGTGAAGAAGCCGAACGTGGTGCAGTTGGAGATCAACGGCGAGATGCAATCAAACGCGCCGGATGTGACGGTGCAGTTTCTCGCTGAGCTGCGTGTTTATACCACACTCAGGTATTTATTTGCATCTAAACGCGCGCGCGCCCATTTGACTCGCGAACTCTAGTCGGCACCGCAATATCTGTGCGTTTCTAGGCTCGCTCGAGAACGTGGGGATGGTTCTAGAATGGATCGAAGGCCGGACACTCTACGATGTGGTGATCGCGCGACCGCCGCTGACGGAGCCCAAGAAACGCGACTACCACAATCAGCTTCTGGACGGGCTGACCCACTTGCACTCCTACGGGCTCAGTCACGGGGATCTCTCGCTGCTGAACGTGCAGGTGACCACCGGGAGCGACACCGTGAAGCTGCTCGACTTCGGGCGCTCGGTCTCAGCCGACTCGTACCTGATCTCGCCGGACGACGAGCCTGCTGATCCGCTCGCGGCCGGGAGGAGATCCGAGCAGATCCACCCCGGTACGCGCCCGTTTTCCGCGCCCGAGATCCTGCGGGGAGAGTGCACGGACGCGCGGCTGGCGGATGCGTATAGTTTCGGGATGATGCTCGTCTGCGTCGACCGGTGTGAGAGCATCGACGTCAAGCCCTGGGATCAGCGCAAGGATCTGTTGCCCAAAGACTTGTTCGACGGATGTGGTATATTCGAGGCACGGGCCAGAGAGTATCTGCGGCGGTGCAATGCTGGACGTCGACGATTGATGAAGGAGGACATTCTTTAAAATGATTCCACTGGGCACTAGTAATACAGGTATCAGCTTACTGAAGAGGACTAACGACGAAGATACCATTGTATTGTATTGGATGATGATGCATCACAGCTCTATCTAGGCGAGAAGTTGACTGAAATACACTCCCAGCTGTTGCACATCCTCCGGATATACGATGCATGCGATCCAGCCATCAGGACGGAACACGACAACTGCACCGCGGGCAATGTCCACTCCGTAGATCGAATGAGCTTGCCCGTGGGGGTCTAAAAACACGCGACCGCGGCCAGGGGCAGACATTCCCAACACGTCTGTAGCCCCGTTTCCAAACGCTGCGGCCAGCGTCGTAAACTGGAAGGCACGGCGCGCCGCAGGAATTCGCGAAAACGAGTCAGGAGCGGCGAGGGCAGCATTCAAAGCGTCTAGACTTTGCCTGGTCTGAATGGGGTTCCCCGCAAACACGACAATGCTGAGGACATGAATGAGGCGGAGCCCTGGACTGATCTGAGTGGACGACGCACTGGAACTTTCCCGTGTTTTTGAGCACTTGATGTAGTCGAACTGGATCCTCCGTGCTATGTATGACATTGTCAGTCTGAGTTGGGGTCGACAGTCAAGCAAACCCGAACCCAATGCTCCTCAGATACACATCGGGACCACGCTCTCCTGGCGATATCGTGGCCGCAGAGGGGTCGGTGAGACTCGAGTTGATGATATTACTCGCTATCGTATTGTCAGATGGATGCAATCCATATCATTTGACATACGATATGAGATCCCTGGGCTGAATGAGCAGCATGTCGAGCCACACACACCACCAAATCAGGCACATACCGAGACCAAGAGTGAATAATTGGACGTTGACATCGGTATACCACTCCGTCAGAAGGTCCCTAGGCCCGTTTATCTATGAAGAGATTCGCATGTATCGAGACGTGAGATCACCTCGTTGGTTCCTTCCGACCTTCGAATCGCGGGGGATACTGGCCAGAGATGAGTGTGCTGATGACTTTGTCGTTGTCAATGACAGTCTGAACACTGGGCCTGCGCTCCAGATCGTATGACTCGACAAGGGTCTTCTTTCCCAGGCCTTGCGAGCAGAACTAACATTTACGCATACTCTGAGCAAAGAATGAGGAATTCGAATGAACTCTCACAGCCAGCTTCCATGCAAGATTAACGGCACTTGAGAAAGAATAATGATCGGCCGTCACAGCGTTCATGAACCATGAAATGACCTACTCATGCACGCCTGTGTTGAGGCCTTGAGCCGAGCCAGAACTGTGGGTATGACACGCGTCTCCAGCGAGGAAGACGCGATCTTGGGCAGAGAATGTTTCGGCAATAGCTTGGCCAATGCCCTGTTCGAATCAGCCAACGATCGAGTCAGCATCCATTGCGAGCTTGCTTGCTCACGTAGATGGTGAACCAATCCACTTCCAAAAACTCTACTTCAAAAGGCTGCAAGGCCTCGATCGCTTCCTTCACGGCAATCTCCTGGGTTACGCCTTCGACGCCGCCGTACTTCTCCAACAGAGCTTGAGAGAACACATAGCCGATCCGCGTCAGGCCACTGTCGATCGGGCACCACAGGATTTGGCCGTGTTCCTTGCTGTCAATACTATTCAGGCAGCGCGGATTAGGCATGTTCGTTTTCACGCGTGCGTCCATCCGGATCCAGCGGTGTGTCGTGCGCTCGCCATTGAACGTGATCCCAGCGAGAGTCCGCACGGTTGAGCGTCCGCCCTAAACATCAATTTATCATGTTCTGGGGAACATCGCTTGGGAAGCTCACGTCGGCACCAACGAGATATTTTCTTGAGTGATGATCAGATCGCGTGCTGTACAGGAAAACAGGACAAACAGACGCTTTGACTTCGACCAGCGCGTCGCTGCTGAGATCTCTAACGCGCACACTCACAGGATACCCATCGGCGCTGTTCTCGTCGATCGTATACCCCTCAATTCGCTGGCGCATATGCTGTTGGACGCCAAGCTCCTCGAGCGCATCGCTGAAACGTTCTTCAGTGAGGCGCTGTCGTAGATGCAGCCTATATCATTTGTTGTGTTGAGCGACGCGGCGACGCAGAAGTCGCGGGTACGAACGAGAACTTGAAGAAAGTGTCGCCTACAATGCGATGAGCGCGCGAGTTCCCAAAGACATATAAACTAGTCCACACCAAGTTTATCCATCCGCCCCCCGAACATCAGTCCTCCGTGACTACGACGCCCGCTACAATGCAGTCAGTTATGTGACCGAGTTCAAAGTCCACGACGAGGAATGCAGACTTGTAGAAATGCAGCGCGTTCCGGGTCACGACGCCCGTCTGCATCATCCGCTCCCCCAGATCCAACTGATCCAGCAATTCGATAGTCCGCGGCCAAAGCGTCGTCGCGCGTCCGTAGCAGGGCATCGTCTTCTTGTCGTCCTGTTCCATCACGTACGGCTGGCACCCGAAGCGTGCGAGCTGGTATGCGATGAGCAAGCCCACTGGGCCGCCACCGACACTGTGTGGTTCATCAGAGACTGTGAAAAGGTTCGGAGCGAGCACAACTTGTGTGACGCACATCACGACGTCGGCTTTGGCGGATGCTGGAGGCATGGAATCCTGTAGGGTGTGCTGTTGCTCGAGCCAGAAGCAAGCATTATATCCTCTCCGCTATCAGATTCGCGATGGATATATTTCGTTCCCCGTGAGCGCGTGAGCCGCGGCCGTCCGTCTGCCATCCAGATGAGATAAGATAATGGAACACAGGTCACATATGTCACAGGATTCCTGCGGATCCCGGGCCGGCCTCAGCGGTGTGCTGACCTTCGCTCATGCAGTCATCAATGTCCGAGACTCAGTTGCATACTATCGAGACGACAACTCGAAAGTCTCTGTATCCGGACGAAAAATGTAACTGTTCAAACGGCGCAAATCGCTCGCTTCTTCTCTTGCCCTGGCCCATTCTGGATACATCCGATCGACCTCTTCCCAAAGGAAACAATTCAGTTCCTCTCTTTCTGCCTCCAGTCGCTTCGAAATGCGGTCCATCTCTTCCATTGCTTTGCTGAGAGTAGTCGCCTTGTCGACACCTTCTAGCTGGCTGCCGTTAATCTCCTGCCAGGCGTCACTGGCTGCTCCCAGCTCGGGATTGGCCCAATCGAGCTGCTGGTCAAAAAACTCGGGCATGCGCGGCCCGAGAGACCAGCTGGGAATCGCTTTCGCACCCTCCCAGTCGATCACGGAGACGATCTTCGTCGGGTCGGCCTCGTCTACGAGCAGATTGTACGGTGCCAGGTCGATGTGCCAGAGGATGATATCGGACAGCGCCTTCGCGCCGGCGAACGAAGCGTGTTCGACTACCTCGACGCATGTTTTCTGCGCGTCTGTGAGGTCGCCTGGGTTGCGGAAGCGCAGGTACTGCTTCGCCTCGGCGAGGAACCAGTCGTGGACAGACGAGAAGGGGCCGCAGAGGGACGGTTCGGGAGCAACCACCGGCGCGTCCAGGAAACTGTTGCGCGGCACCATAGGCCCGACGCCAACAGCTCCATTCTCATTGATCTGGAGACTCCCGATCGCGCTGAGGCGAATGGACAGCAGCTGGACCACGATCTGGGCTACGGACGTGCAGGCGCATTTCCGCTGCTCCTTCGACATCTCGGGCCAGCGCTCGTGCAGAGACGCGCGGGGTACCTGCGATCGGTAAGCACCGCATGCGAGGATGACTGAGGCCTGGGACTCGCCGCTTCCATGACCATCCACGGACCGCCCACAGCGCCAGACGCGTCGTCGTCGTAGAGGAACACCTCGGGCACAGGTATCTTGGTGTGCTGTCGGACGTAGAGCATCGTCGCTACCTGCACGGGTTGCGTTCAGTTCGCAGATGCCTGTTCTAGCGCAGGACTCGCCTCGGAGTTCGTGCGCCAGGGTGCAGAGTGAGCGCGGTGAGAATAGTTGGCCAAGGACAGTGGATAATTCACTCGCGCAACGAATTTGAGTCCAGATTCCATACAAAGAAGGCAAACCTGGCGAGGATGGTCTCAGCGCTCAGACATTTGGGACACACAAGAAATCCCTACATAGTGCGAGCTCACTGGGGGCATGGATGCTAAGCTGATATGTCGAGAGTTGATGGGGCAATCACGTACTAAATGCAACGATTCCTACTTTGACACAGTATTCTCCCGGAAATCGCGCATGTACTCGCGCGATGATGGGCGCAAGATCGGGATGTGGCCGCTCCCCGAGAACTTCGATATTATGGGGAATCATCCGGAGAGGCAGACAGTGGAATTCGTGGGCCAGGAAATGGGTTTCAACCTTTGCTTTATGTCGGATGGCTGGTGTGGCGCCGATCATGATGTATCTGGACCTTTGTTCTTTATCTCGTCTTGGGTTCAGGCCTGATGCCTTTCTGTTGTGATCGGCGCGTGGCTTGACCCTCGTTTCTGTCGGCATTGTCGCAACAATGGGATCTATCAACTGCAGGCGAGCCCATCACATTGTAAGTCGAACCCGGTCTTTGTTCTCTTCGAGGCTGGGTGTCTCATCGTATATAAGGTAGTTAATAGTCGACCAATGGTCCAGGATCCAAATCCCGGATAACCGCATTTGCTTGACTGTCCACGATGCCGACCAGCGATGTTCCTGGAATCACCTACACGTGGAAAAAAGACATCTCATACCAGGCCGGAGACTATGTCTGCGTGTACAACAAGACATACAAGAAGGTGGCCATCTGGAAATGCCTTGTTTCGCGTACGTCCGAGCACCCAAGTTGTCGGCCCTCTCATCTGACATCAGACTCAGATATCTCTAGAGCGACTGCAGATCTCCAGGTGAGTACTTCGTGACTCGAGTTTTGTTTCCACTGACTGGGTTCTTCTTAGCCCAGATGGGCCCCGGGTGTGGATTGGCCAGGAGTGAGCACAGAGCTGTGGTTGTACATCGGAACCTCCCTGAAGATAGAAGGGCAGTTCGATCCAGTCAGATAGTAGATCGCATTTGTAGACGTTTCTTTCTGGCTCCAGGGTTCATTTTTCAGAGTCTTGCAACAGAACTTGAGCGTCGTGAGCTTCCCTCATAGAACTATATCGATTCGAGCAACGCAATGCAGTCCGCCATACGGATCCGGGATGCCCAGTATCGTCCCTGACTTTCTAGAAGCTGCTGTCCGTTGAGTGGGCGGCATTTCCGCGAAGGGCCTACAGATACTACTCACTACTCATTGGCTGATCGGATATCAAGAACTTGTGGCAGAAACAGTGCTAATTTTCACTGGACACGTCGCCAGCAGGGTCGAGGCAAGCCGGAGCTGCCGGTTCCACCAGGGCTCCGAGGACGAATCGCATTGCGTAGCCTTGAAACCTTGTGTGAGACCCTGGTTCTCCGCCTATCGTTCATTCGTGCAGCCAGGCTGTTGAGAGGTGGGGCGCAGATACCAGAACCCGAAGAACTTGGGAGGAATGCGCTAGGCTGACAGTCACGAGAAAGGACTGTATGCCCCAACCGCGATGTCACTTGTGGATCAACTTGATAGAAGACGGGACCTAGGCTCCTTGGAGCACAGCAAAAGGGTGGATTCGGTGATTCTCAGGCAGATCCATCGCTGCCCTAAACACGTCTGCGGCGGGTCGCAAAGTTTCGAAGGACGAGCAGACTTCGCGTCATGATGAGATCGATGCAACAGAAGTAGAACACATTTCCCTGGCCGTTCCTTGGGTGATAGAAGAAAGAGGGCAAGCGGAGCACAGTTACCCAGTCGGAGTAGAACGAAATGCGATTGATGGCGCATCAAAGCATCGTGATGGGAGTCTGATCTATTTGACGGACCACTGCGAGCAACTCTAACAATCCTGGGTCCAGAGAGCGCCGGGCTCACTTGGAGACGGGAAGGTTCGAAATACGCGAAATACGCGATGAATGGGATGAATACAGGTAAGTATCAGAACCGACATACCCCACCAACCATCAAAACATCAAGGATGTACTTGGCGCGGTGCGGAGCTGCAACGGAATCGGCTCCAGGGCTGTCATTCGCAGCTGTGGATCTTGCTCTGTCCCACCAGGTTGTGGGCCCAGTCTCGTCCAACATAACTCTATGCTCGATACAGATCCCTCTCCGCTGCTGCTGGAGTACGCCCCCGGTGAGAGGGGCGTGGTGACGGTGAAATATCCCCTCGTTTGTGCATATTCGATAAATCTCACGGATTCAAGGCGCTGGTTGTCGCTGGAGCTATCAGCATGCTTTCGATCTTCGTTCTCTTTGGAGTGCGTCCTGGACTCGGTCAACCTTGAGATCGGCTCTGACGAACAGACTAGTTGTCATTCTTTGTTGCGAACAAGTACAAAAACACGCACTTCCAGGCGTACTTTGTGTGCCTCTTGCTGGGAAACGCCATGCAGGCATGGGGAACCATCATGAGCTTGAAATGGGTGCAGATGGATCGGGTCGTGGACGGCCCCTTTTGCTATGCTCAAGGTATGCATCCGTTCGGGCGAATGCGCTTCTGTGATGCTCAGCCCAAACAGGGGGCATTAAGCAGGGCGGAAACCTGGCTACTGCGATATGGTCGTTGGTGATCTCCTTCCATCTGTTCCTCCTGCTTTTCGTCCGGTATCAGACGACCAAGATCGTGTCATGGGGAATCATCGCGCTGGGATGGAGCTTGACGTTTGGCTGTGTGTTCCTTGGGCCGGTGGCCATCCAGAAAGCGGCGCGGGGCCACTACTTCGGGATCTCTGGGCTGTGGTGCTGGATCACTCCCGCATACCACACAGAACAGGTGTTCCTTGAATATTTCTTCGTGAGAACTTCCCAACTGCTGTACCGTGCAGATCTGACTAGCGCCCTACTTTCAGCAATTCCTAGCAGTTTCCCTGAACATCATCCTTCACGTCGCGACGCTTATGCGTGTGCGAGGAAATCTGATCCGCAAGGAAGGACGGTGGCGAGTGCGGTGGGTTGGATCTCGCAACTCGTGGCAGTTGGCGCTAGGCCGCGACTTCACGGACTCTTCGATGCTTCGCCTGGCACAGCACATGGTGTGGTACGTGTGGCAGGTGTATGCTCCCGTCCGCCCTCTAATCTTATTGAATAGGTACCCGGTATGAAATGCTATGCCTGCCACTCCCGCCGTTCCCTGACTCGTGCAGATCGCATATGCAGTCACCATAATACCCATCAGCGTGGTGCGCTTCTCCGCGTTCTGTGGCGTGCACGTCCCACTCCCGGTCTACGCAGTAGCGGGTGTCGTCTTCGACCTGGGCGGCGAGTATCCTGTCGGAAACAGACACTCATCATCTGATTGACGTGCCTCTTTCAGGTTTCGTGAATGTCGCGCTTTTCCTGGGCGCCCGCCACTTCTTCCCCGATCAAGACTCGGTCCCTGAGTTCAACGCTCAGCGGCCGGCGGAAAGCGAAAAGATTGTGGAGGCATATGGTGTCACGCCGTTTACGCTGCAGCGCCCGATGCCAGTCATCCCCAAGCGTGAATCCTCGCGTCGGATATCAGCAGCCTCGATCACTTCTCTGACGCCCTTGACGCGTTCCTGAGCGGACTGTAACTTATATGTACATCTCAACGAAGCCGAGCTTCAGGCAGTTTGAGCATCGGAAACTGGTTGTAACTGAATACTACTACTGTACAACAACAACAAAAAATATACAATAAGTTACGCACACATCGTCTAGAAGGCACACGAATTGGATCGCAGCCGGTCCCCAAAGCGGGGCTTGAGAACCTTGCTCGTCACACGCAGGTCGCGGCAAAAGTCTTGCAGCCGTTTCGTAGCCTGGGCTCGCTCGGTTTCGGGATTGGGATCCGGGCCGGCGATGGTCACATCGACGCGGGCTAGCTTGTCGTAGAACTGGGGTCCTCGAGTGACTCGCATCGCCAAGAAAGCCTCCAAAGCAGCGCATACATCGGTCACATCGTCGGGAAAGCACTGGACACTGAGGGCTTCGATGGGGGACCCAGCGAGCGCGGCCATGGTGTCCACGACATCGTCCACGGGGAAGAAGGGCGAGATGTGCAGCTGGCGGAGTTGACCGAGGGGGGTGGCCGCCTTGGAAAAGATGGGCGAGGACAGGGCAGTGTCGAGGGAGAATGTCGAGAGCGTCGGTCCGACAGCCGAAGTGATGCGTTCGATAGCGACACGGTTCGGCAGATCCAGTTCGTGCACACAACTGCCCAGGTCGAGCATCTCAAGCCGACAAGCAACAGGGGCCGTTTCCCATCTGGGGTCCCCAAGGTGGGTGTCCCGGATAGTCAATTGCCGAAGGGAGGGTATCGAGAGCAGTGACGGCAGAGATAGCTCCGACCCGAGCAAAGGGTGATCGGCAATATCGTTGTCGCCGTTGACCAAGGGCACAAATGGGTACTTGCCCACGATCTCCGGCGCATGGAGTGTAGAGCGGGAGACCCTTTCTAGTGACAGGTACTGCAGGTACGGAACTGAGGCCGCGATGGATACCACCAATCGCTCGCTCCTGCAAAAAGAATGTCAGATGATGACGAGAGTTTATTAATTGGCGCGACCCGAAGCTTTGGCTTTCACCACGAAGCAAGGGGAATGTCGAATGTCCCTCTTGCCCTGCTTCGCTTCTAGAACGCATGCTCAAAAAGTTCGTTCACTCACAAAGGCAAAACAGACTCTTCCGCACAGTTGCGGATAGTGAGATGGCGCAAGTTGGCGAGAAAGGGGAAGCAGGAGATGACGCTCTGGTGGGGAGAGCCCTCGACGCGTAGGAGGAGTTGCGAGAGGCGGGGTGACGCAAGCAGCAGCGAAATGAGCGCATCCGCAAATGCTCTCGGTCCGCCCTCGGTTCCTACATCAAGACACTCAATATGCCGGCAGTAGGCGCGAGGAACATTCTCGAGGAATCGTCCAAGATCGGACTGGCTATTGAGCTTAACATCCTGTCGAAAAAAAGCTTGCTGAGCATGCCCGGATCGACGTCAATTGAATACTCACCCTGAACAAAGCGGGAACACACGCCCTATACGTGCCCTGGTCTACCGCGGAGAACATCCTCACATCTGCCCGTCAAGATTGTCGACGACGAAAAGCTGGAGTTCAATGGGGAGGGTGTGCCAAGTCACAGGCATGACGGGTTCTGTGGCTCGAGCCGGTGGGTTTGGATGGGTTTGGGAGATGTCGGGGATTTGAGATGGGGATTTTAGACAGGTTCCATCGAGTATTTGAGGCCTGTGTGAGGACTCCGAAGTCCACGAAGTCCGATCCTTCTCGGAGGTTGCAAATCAAGGTGTGGACACGGAACAGAGATCGATCCCATCAAATACATGTGCCAAACACACCCTGCTCTCTGTTGCCACCATACATTCATATCGGCGAACTAGTTGGTCCGTAGTGCCGTGCCCCCCTGGTCCACCGAACTACCTCTATCGGCGTTTCTCGCTCAGTTTCCGCAGGCGTTTCGGCCTCGCCCTTATTCTTTTTGAAGGTGGGAAATGATCAATCTCGCCCGCCATGCTCGGAGAACAGCCCCTGCAGCGTTCTCATGGACCGAACAACATCAACAGCCGCGCACATGTCTATGTGACTGTCGGTTGTGGATGATACCTATCCTTGTCTTCTTGCTGAAAAGGCATATATTGCAGCGCTGTGAGCAGGTCCGCCGACTTCGGCGGAGGTGATATTGTTCGTTTGTCCTTGCTGGGATGTTGGCGTGCAATGAAGCTGGAGGGAGACGCCGCTGACAGAAAGACACATTCCGGTATGCGTCTGGGCCGCCGTTGGGGCGAGCGAAGTTTAACGTTCAGTTTCACTATGTGCATCCGACGAGTTCCTTGTTGTTTGTCGTCGTGACCCGGTCCGCCTGAAGGTGCCGGATATGATGCAAGTGCTCCCTTGCCGTTTACCGGGCATGCGATCAGGACGCTGGCACTGCCGTGTCGTGGCAGCCTCAATGCAGCGACCATCGTCACCCGACATCTGGTAAGCTTTGGCCAAACCCTTATGATCTCACTTGCTCCTTATAGCTGTGGACACGGCGATATCTGCGTTCCACTCATCTCGGAGCACGAGGACGTCAATCCCGCTGCCTGTACGGCAACTTTGGCTTCGCCCCCGAGCTGACATGACCGCTGATCCATCATAATTCGTGCACCGCAATCGAGGAAGCTGACGACGAGGGCTTCCTCCACGAGCCTCGATGAAAGCGGAGTTGCATTGGTCGCCGTGATCTCACCGCCCGCCGACCATGGTTCCATGTCTATCATCAACTGTTCCCCCCCTCCAGGCATCGAGCGGGTGTTTCCTGTTACGTTCGAGGGAGCCAATGCCTAATACTTCGGGAGTGCAACAACGTCTGGACGGCTCGGATCAGAAATGTGCATTTGGACTATGCATGGACAGGTGAGGCATCTGGGCCCAGTCCGTGGGGCGCGTCAGTTTCATCTCCAATTGGGTGACGTCGTTTGAGTTTCGCGTGCTAGCCCACTGGACTCCTGAGAAGCTAAGCAGATTCAGAACTGAGCAGAACGGGCACAACCTCGGGCACGGCTCTGCACACCTTGAAGATAGCTACCGGCAAATGGCGTCGACCCTTTCTAGAACCCCGAGTCAGAAACGCACAGACAATATCTTCCCACTTGGATACAATCAGCAGGGTCACTGGAACCCAAAATGACCTCCTTTGAGCTGATAATCCTGATGACATTCTGGCCGTATATTAGAAATCCCAAGAACGGCATTCAACCGGTCTTGTATCGAGGTAGACATCAGCTACCGTCATGTCCTCTGCCATTCTCAGCCCTAAGCTGCACACCATCGCGTCCGATTACGTCTAATTTTGTTCGATTGCCGACTTGTCACCGTGTCGTGATGATCACCCGTTGCGTGCCTGCTATCAGCACCTCAATGCCTCGCCTAACGATGCTTTTCGTTGACGATCGCTCATAATCACTGCGCGTCCACAACTCTACGAGCTATAGCACCTCTCTCTCTCACTCGCCGCTCACGCCTCCAGCCGCACTCTTTTCGGGCCATCCTTCGCCGTGACGGGACAATCAAGTCAGAAAGAAGCGTCGTGAGAGCTCTGTGGCATGTGCCTCCAGTCAACATTATTTAACATCTCTAGTGCATCGTCCGCGGGCGTTCAAGGGCATTCATCGCCCGTCTAGTCGTTTCCTCGACTTTCCACCACCCTCGAGCCCGTCAGCCGATCATGCCAAGCAAGGTTCTCTCGCGGTCTATGGACGACGACCCGTTCGCGATTCTATTGAAGCCGCCAGAGGGAGAAACACCCGAGCAGCGCGAAGTGCGGCTGCTGTTGGAGAAGGAGGCGAAGGAAATTTCGGACTCCATTGACGAGCAGCTGAGCAAGGAGAAAGCCCAGGAGAGGAGAGGTCCGAAACCCGTAAAAGTTTTGTTGCTGGGTGAGCTCTTACCTTTCCTCTTCCCTCGCACCGTCACCGACGTCCCGCAGGCCAGAGTGAATCAGGTATTGCCCAGTCTTCTGCCAGATATCGTGTACTGAAAACCGCGCAGGGAAATCGACTACTCTAAAAAGTGCGTAGCGGTGGTTCTTGGCCATCGGGCTAGTGCTGATTGCCCCGGCATAGACTTCCAACTTATGTACGACCCCAAAGTAGGTCGCCACGCTTTTCCACGGTGCTTATTCTCATAGCCCCAGGCCTTCCGAGCAGAACGTGCATCATGGCGGGCGATCGTCCAGCTCAATGTAGCGCGTTCGATTCACGTCATTCTGGACGTGATTACACGCGCTGAGAATAACCCGTACCGCGACTCCTCTGCTCCCGTCGTCGACGACGAACTCGCTGACCTGAAAATGCGGCTGTCCCCCCTCATCCAGGTTGAGGAGATTCTTATGCAGCGGCTGATTCCCGTGGGGCCAGACACGTCTGACGCAGCGCGACTGGCTCAACTTACGAGTGTTCCTTACGCCGAGCGTCCGAGGAACGTGCTTCGCGAGGTCGCGGTCAACAGCGCCATGCCCTGGAAGGACGTGTTTGAACGGCTAGTGACGAGCGATAAGGACAGCTTCGACAGCGAGAAGGCCGTCGATTGGGAAGACCCGAATGATCCAGGGCCGATTCTCAACGCCCTAGCGAAAGATATGGCGGCGTTATGGGAAAACAGCACGGTCCAGGCACTGCTGGAGCGACAGAATCTACGATTGCAGGAAGCGGCTGGCTTGTATGCCACGTATTTTCACGCGTGGGGTCGCGCTAGCTGACTTTCTTTGCACAGTTTTCTGGACTGCCTGGATGAAGTGACAAGCCTGCGATATGTTCCGTCCGACGGTTCGGACACTTCGTATCTCGTCTGAACTTTGGGGGATTGACATCTGCTGCAGACCACATCTTACGAGCTCGCCTCAAGACTTTGGTATGCTGTTCAGATCTTCTCCGTTCCCTGCTCACTGCCTCTCAGGGAGTCTCCGAGTATCGGATCAAGATGACCTCCGGTAATTCTGGTTTCCTCCGCGCGATGTCTGTCACCCATATCGTCTAGGTGGCATGACGGGAAGCATCAGTCGCGATTGGCGAATCTACGATGGCGAGTCTCTTCCATTTTCTGCTCCGCAGACTCGGCTGACCCTGTGATAGTGGGCGGTCACCGGTCGCTGGTGAGTCAGACAGTTGATATGCGAGTGTTACGTTTTCGGATGTCGGCCATTGCAGCGAGGTAGGAAACTTTTCTCTGTCGAAAAGATCGCACGCTGATGGACACCGAACAGCTGCCTGGGCGCCTTACTTTGACGACATGCATTCCCTGATACATCTGGTGCCGATCAGCGCATTCGACGAAGTTCTGGCTGAGGAGCCGAGGGTCAATCGGCTGGTCAGTCCCCTTGCGCTTGATTTCCATGCTCCGGTTCCATTCTGCTTGACAGGCCGACTCCGTCAATCTATGGACCATGATCGTGTCGAACAAATTACTAGCCAACACGAACATCATACTCTTCCTGAACAAGATCGATATCATGAAGAGTAAACTGGTGCGGGCTTCCCTTTATGGCCTACTAGTCAGGGTTTTCTCCTAACCTCGATCCACAGGATTCTGGCATCCAGCTTGTCGACTACGTGAACTCGTATGGGAACCGGGCAAACACGTTTGAGGCTGCATCAAACTGTACGTGACGATGGGTGCTGCTTCCAGACTTCTAACCTCCCCTGTCAGATCTGAGAAAGAAATTCGGTCCGTTTTCCGTACTGGAGCCGTCCTCGTCCCTGACCATATTGCAGCGGGGATAATGCGAGAGCAGTCCCCATCCCATCGAATCTTCTACTGCCATTTGACAGTCGTCACCGTATGTGGAAATATGCTCAACTGCCCTCTATCCTTTCTTCTCATTCTCCACGTGCAGGATCGAACATCGACCCAGTATATCCTGGCGAACAGTAAGTTCAGGTCAAATCTTGGTTCGTTCCAGTCGCTCATCGCGTCTCAGTCAAGGACATGTTGATGCATCAGTATCTCGAGGACGCTTCACTACTGTCCTGATCTAACCTGTATTACCACCGTACATTTATCCATTATCTTTCATGTACATCACGCACACATCTGTAGAATGAATCATGCCTTTCACGACGGCGTTTGGGCGCCGGCAAACTGAGCGTCGCTGGGGATAACGAGGTCGGGAATTTCGCACTGCGGTGTCCAACTACGCAGCCGCCGTCCGTTCCACCATAGACCCGGCCGACCTGTCCCTCTCCCAGAGAGCTCCCACCTAGCCTCAAACTGCCCTCGCAGCAATCCCTTCGTCCCACCCAATGCGGGATTCCAGACAGCCGATCCGATGCCACCCCGGTCTGCTGCCCGTTCTTCGTCCGCCTCCCCCCTCTGCGCCGCATCAGGGTCGGCATCTTCCAGTGGTGGCACATGGAGCAGGAGAAAGGGGACAGGCGAGGACTGTGCGCGCAGAATAGTAGATTTGGTGAACGGGGACTCGGATACAAGCATAGCAACAAGAGGGTACTGCGGCACAGAGCCTGAGGCGGACGCGTCCGCCGCCGCCATGTGCCGGTGCAACACGCCTTCCATCTCGCGCACGTACTTGGGGCTCATCTTCTTCTTCTCTGCCTTGCACTGCGCGAGGACGCGGAAGCGGCGCCGGTCGTCCCCGCCTGGTGCGTCGGGCGCGCTGGGCCGAGCAGGGGCGGCAGCCACCACCAGCCCATGAGGTCGATCCCACCGTCGGACTTGCCGCCGACGCGGCGCAGGGACATGGACATGTGCTCCTGCAGAAGCCCGAGCGCGCGCTCTTCGAATAGTGTGCCCCTGTGGACTGCGGAGAGGACGGGCGCTGCTGCGGCTACATTGCAGCGGATGGAGGATGAGAACATCGATGATTTGTTCGGGATTTCCCGTGCGGGTGATGGCGGCATTGGCGGCGAGTCTATGTTGCCAAACGACCCTCAGCCTGACTGAGGCAGATTATCGACATTCTTTACGGCTGTGGAGGTGGACGTGGGCTCATAGTGATTCCGTGATTGGGTGTGCGTATCCTTTCTCCTCTGGGAAGCAGGCTCAAAAGGAAGGGTCATTCTCAACCCTGAGAAAGTCTCATATGATCATAACGGAACAATTCGAGAACAGACTTTCTCCTTTCTCTGCGACATGAGCCCCATCTCTGCTGAATCAGACCAGGAGGTAGTTTGCACAACGCATTTTGTATGAGTGCTATCTGCAACTCATCGCTGACGTCCAGGACTCGGATGCGGAACTGTGGAAGGCTTTCGATGACGACACAAAATTTCGTAAGTCTGGTGGGCCGAGAGAGTATCAGAGTGTCAACGGCCTTGCGCATAGCTTCGAGTAATGTTCTCAAGCGCAAACGTTTGTTTGCCGCAGAATCGACTGCATATCGTGGGTATCGCCGAGTGAAGCAACGTCGTCCTGCAAAGTCTTCAATCCAGTTTCGCACCTCGTCCTGTCGCCTGGACGAAGCTGTGACGGATCCCTACATCATAGTACGCTGCTGCAAACATAAAACTTTTCATACGTTGATTCGCGTCGCGCAGGCTGGCTTTCAAACACTTGAGGACGAGGAGGCATTTCGAGGAATCAGCCAGCTACCGACCGGTGTCATTTGGGAGACAGCCCGCCTCGTCAGCTCCGAACGCCTTACTGAGGCTCGATGCGATGTCTTGGAGGGACTGCAGGGTTCCAACGCGGATTCGGTCCCGCGAGCGCTGCAGGTGCTGACCAAGGAGCAAGCCCGAGGCATCGAGGGCGACGCTGCGTTTTCGGCCGAACGACAGGCTCAGGTACGTCGCTTTCTCTCTCCCTTTTCCATCCGTTTCAAGGTGTCGCTAGTGCCCCTGGTCCGAGCTAGATCGGGAAGAACTTGCGCTGTCGGCGGATCCGCTCGCTGGGCTGGGCAACTGCGCTGAGATCGAGGACGGGGGGTATTACGGCGGCAAGATCTGCTTTGCGGGTGATATCGGGCTGGATAAGGCGGGTGTGGCGACGGTACGGTTGTCTCGTCCCTCGCTGGGCTCGTCCTGCCGGCTCTACCGCCATTTTGGATCGACCAGCTTCATCCGGCTTCGCGTGCCTACGAGCACTTTCTACTCATCGAGCAACGACCGGTCATTCCAATCGTTCTTCCGTAAGCCGTTTGTGATCTTCAACCGCGTCTTCCGCGCGTTTTTCGCGAAGGAAGGAACCGTCTTCCTGTTTCGGACGCGTGAGAGATGCGAGAACGGGCTGGTTGTGGATGATAGATCTGGCGCTGGGCTGAGCCTCTTTGAGTTCATCGATCAGTTCAACCCGTTGACGATGAATGATGATCAGGCGAGTCATCTGGGGACGGTCGAGGGAACTTGATGATCAATCCAGCCATAGATTCTCTGCAAGTGGGCCTCCCGATTCGCTCTCGGGCTGTCGAATTCTGTCCCTGGCCCGGAAATTGCGCCAGAACATGTGGAGGAGATACGAGATCTCGGTGCGTAGACTGAAGCTGCCGTCTGCAAGCTCCCGACCTTTTCGTTTGAACAGGGTCCAGCGAGGGGAGTAATATGACTGACGGCTGTGGGCTGTCTACTCCTGCGTTGCATCTCAAGGTCCGACGGATGTTCAATCTCGAGTCGACCCCGACTGCACTGCAAATGCGGTATGGAGGAAGAAAGGTACGTCCGCCGGGTTCTAGATAGCGTTTAGCGCTTAGCTGTTTGCAGGGCATGCTTCTACAATTCCCGGGTACGAATCTGGACACGGTTCCTAAGGCTGCCTTCCGCGATCCATCACAGGTGAAAATCCGGCTCGGGGCGCAGAGCCAACGGCACCGCGCGAACACCACTCTCGACATTCTGCGCTTCTCCCGGACCAAGACCCCGACGCGCATCTCCCCCGAGGTCATCATCAACCTCGAGCACAACGGTGTCCCGGCTTCGGTGTTCTTGGGCTTGCAAGAACGGTATCTCGCGGCAGGCGTAGACGATCTGGTCTTCTGGGCTCGCATGACTATGATGGAGACAATCTGGATATGTTCAAGCTCTGGTCGGCCGTTGAAAGAAGCGAAGGCGTGCATTTTGCCCGCCGGGTGCGGGAGGACAAGGGGGTAGCCCGATTTCGCGGCCTGACTAGCGGATATCGAGACGAGATGGAGGAACAACACGAAGAGGACGAGGACGAGGACGGGGATCTTACTGGAGATCGTTTTGATCGAGTTTTCCACGAGCGTTCGACTGCTTGGTGGCCCGATTACATCTCCGGATGCCCTTCATCTCTCGCCGAAACTGTGATGGCACTCCTCGGTGCGCTGTTCTCGTCGATTTACGGATGCCTGCATCTGAGTGACATCGTTTTGATAGATGCTGGTTTTACCCCGCAGTCTCTTCCCGTTCTCAGGGATAAACTCAAACAAATTGCACTGAAGAAAATCAAGTACCGATCCCATCATTTCAGATATGACGTCCTGCAGAGTGCAAGCGCTTTTGTTGTGCCCGGTCAATTGTGCCTCGTTTATCTAGCCGACTCAGGCTGACTGCTGCATCCTGTCAGACGCTTGGGAGGTCTTGGGCGAAAACGAGATCCATTTCAAGAGCTCTCGTCGAGAATTCAATGTTGGCTCGGATGGCTTGGAGACGGACATCATCCTGGGGGACGTTCTGGTGAGAATTAGCATATGCGCAGCACTGGCTCGCGCCGATGATGGCGCTCGATAGATGACCCGCAACCCGTGCAAAGTCCCCACAGACGTAAGAAAAGTCAAAGCTGTCAAGAAATCGAACTCCACGATGTGGTGGATGTGATCGTTTGTTCGGTGAAAGGCTCGCGCCGGTTGATTGACTACCTGGCTGGCGGTGAGTGCTCTTGTTGTCTCGGCGATGGCCGAGCTCTGATGGTGTGCAGGTGACTATGACGGGGACACAGCCGTGGTGATATGGGACAAGAGCATTGTCGAACCATTCAGAAACGCCCCGGAGAGATTCTCTGTCGAACCGCGCGAACTCGCCGCGAATTTCCAACGAAACGACACATCTGTGTCCACCTTCAATATTAATTTCTCCGGAACATCAGAAGCAGAAAAGGTATTTGAGTTGCAGTCGTACCTGCTTGGATCGCTTCGCAATCCGTCTATGATTGGGCGATACTCGACGTTCCACGACAGTTCTATTGTCCTGAATGGATACGATCACCCGGAAACAATCATGCTGGCTTACAAGTATGTCATCCCACCGATTACTAGTCACGATCTGGAACTCTTCCAGATTCTGCAAAATTCTCGACTCTCCCAAGACTGGTTATCTGATCAAAGATCATGTCTATCGAAACGACCTCGCACGTCCACACGGCAATCCCCGCGGACCGAAGTGGAAATCCAAGGCGAACGAGAGCCAATTCGCGCACCAGTCAAACAGAGTGCCTGTCCAACGACGTTGCACCTCTGCCATCCCGTCGCTCTCTCGTCCGTTCATCATGGATGTTCTGCAAGACGAGGCGTCACGCCAGGAAGCTGTGTGGCTGCGATCCATCGAGGACCTCTTCCGGCCGTTCGAGCAGCAGTCTCCACACGTTCTCGATGACGCGCTCGCAGATCCGTGGCGCAAATACGCCTCTTTTGCGGATGCACGCGCGAAAGAGAAGGACGTCGGGCCGCGGAGCGATCTGGGCATCATCGCCACCCATGTGCAACGTTTGTATGTTCGACACGCCCTTGTATTGAGCGGACGGTCTGCCAAGGAATTACCTTCCTCCCCTGCCAAGTCGCTTTTTACAGGCAAAGAGATCACCGCTCGACAAGACGCACTTCGAACACTCTCACGTGACTTTGCGTCGGGCCCGAAGCTGGGCGAATTGGCGACGATGGCGGATGAGGGTCTTGTGGCGAGGCTGCGCGCGTCGTATGCGTATCTTTATGACTTTGAGAAGAAGGTGCACGCAGACGGTTGGTCTAGGTTTCCTTGGAATGTTGCGATGGGTGGTACGCACTGATCGCATCCCATTGACTGAGCTTTCATTGATCGAACGCATGCAGAGCTGTGCAAGATCAAAGCGAGCTCGCTTGGCTCCCATAAAGTTGTGACGACCTCCTTCTACGAGCGGTTCAGGCTCAGTGTGAAGCAAATGTCTTGAATGGTATGGTGTCTTTGGATGGAAAGTGATGTCGAAATCTCCCACTAAAATTATGTCATAAATCTCGATTTTTCGTTATAAAACTACCAGATATAACTACAAGGATGAATTCTCTCTGAAGCGAGGCAAGGCTCGCTGTACCAACCGCGTGTGTATTCGGCCGCCCCTATCTGTCAACTGCCCGAGTGCATGACATCATAGTGTCGCACTTGACGAGCAGCCTGCCATCTCTATCGCGCGCGCATTGCTAGTTACGCCTATGGGCTCTTGCTGCTCAACCCGCCGCAAGGAATCTCCCGAAACGCGTCCTCTCCTTCGCGAATCCTCCACAGATGAGACCAATGGTACCTATCCCGGCCCCACGCGATCGGGGTACGAAAAGTTCGCGGACGTGTTCGCAGCGCTGAGTGCGGGGAAGCTGCCGTCCCAAGAGCAGACCTCGACTGGTCTGAGGAGTCTGATATCTCTGGTCGATCTGCAGAGTCCGAGTGGGCTCAACAGTGCTGGGCTGAACGAGCGCGAAGTCGATGCCGTGGGCGCGGCGCAGGAGTTGCTGGACGCTGTCCTCCGGATTGGACTGGAGAAGAACTGTGCGTCGATGAATACTATCTGAGGCCGTGCTCATATGATGCTAGACGACGACAAGATACAGGAGCTGTACTATCACGCCTCACGGACTTTGAATGATGCCAACGACGAAGTGCCAATCCAGCTCAACGCGGAGGTCACAGTCAACGGAGCGCCGGTCAAAATCGGTGCGTCGAGGACATAGGCCCAGGCAACGCACTCTGCTTAACCAACTTAGACAGAAAGACCGCAAACAGATCCCGGGGGATACTGCGCGGCTAGTCGCATCCATCAAGCCCCTCACTCGCCTCCTGCTCACCGAAAGCGCGTTCCGCATCCTGGTTTCGGATATCCTCACTACGACACGCGAGATCGTCGCGGAAACCGCGTCCGAAATCGGGCAGGCCGCGGCCAACGTGGAGGCTGCCGCATTCAGCATTGCCCAAGTGGCCACGACTGGGTCCGGCGGTGACGGAAATGCGGCTAGCCAAGCAGAGGAAGCGGTATTGGAGGTGAAAGAAGCGGCAGAGCGTGCTCAGGACGACATTGCCGCCGTGGGTCTGCAATCTGCAGAACGAGTCAAGGAGAACATCATTGAACGAATACAACTCGTGCGTTTCCATGTCATATATTCATGAATGAATCCTGCCGACTGACGGTGGATACAGTCTGTCAGCCAGATCCAAAGCCGTCCTGAATACAAGGATGCGATGTCCACGGTGCTGCGGCTGCTGCAGAAATACTCAGACAAGCTGGGATCGTTGACAAAAGCAGCGTCTGACGAACATGTTGCGGTTTCCGCTGAGATCGATATGTCAGAGTCCTTCGCTGAAGCACTGGGAGACCTGAAGATCCTCCTCGAGCGATTCGCCTCGCACCACTCCCTAGACCCGTTGCTGCATTCGTTCAAGGCGGCTATTACAGATGTGCTAGCAGCGCCGAACTCTGACTTGCGCGAGTACCTCTCCGTAGTGGGAGTCTGGTTCGAACGGGCACTGAGCGACCCGTCCTTTGCTCGATCGGCGAAAGCCAAGCGTGGGGCGGAGGAGTTGTACGATACGGGCAAGCTGCTGCTCGCGGCGCAAGAAAATGCACGATGGGCACGGGATTTCCGGCAGATGGTCTCGGAGGCACAGGCTTTCTCTGATGCGCTCCAGACGGACAAGAGCACGCGACAGCTTTTACAGGCCATCCAGCACACCGTCGCCGCCACCGAAGATATGTTCCTTAGCGTGAGAGGTAGAGGGTCGTGGCGGGACACGCTGAGGAGCAGGCTCCTCCGCTGGCTCATCCCGCGAGTGCTCAAGAACATCCGGAACTTGCCGATGCCCCGGGTGGAGTACAAGTCGAAGACGCTCGATGTCGCGGTCGACGCAGTGCTGCTGACACCGTCGTCGACCAGTGCATCGCTGTCGCCCGACTCCGTGCTCGTGCAAAACTGGAATGAATTCAAGTTGGATATGACAGTCCCGGACGCTGTGCTTCAGGCCTCCAGTCGGACAAGGGCAAGGGTCGAGGGAGTGCGGTGCTCTGCACACGGATTCGGGTACTTTGTCGACTACAAGGGGCCGCTCTCTTTCCTGCGATATTCTGACGAGGGCATCATCGACGTCGACATTGGACAGCCGGGGGCCAGCGGCGAGGGAATTGTGCTGGATGTGGATATCGAGACCATCGACGAGGAGCGGAGGACGCCGGGAGAACCGCTCTTCAAGGTCCGAGATGTGACGGTCGACGTTCCAGGGCTGGCGTTCAACATCCGACATAGTCGACACTCCATCCTCAACACCCTGCTCCTCCAACCGCTCTCAGCACCCGTCGTCCGGCTCGTCCTGCGGTCAGTACTAGAGCAACAAGTACACAGTGCCGTCGAGTGGGCGGATCGATTGGTGACTGCGGTGACTGAAGAGGCCGCGCGGATCGGAGCAAGAAGGAATGAAGAACCCACAATACAAGACTACTACGCAGCTGCGTTAGCCACGGCACCCGCGTTCTTCGAGAGCTCGCCGTCGACGCAGCCCACTGGCACGTCGACGTCGCACACGGACGCTACATTCAAAGGCATCATTCACACAACGATGACCGTGCCCGAGAACAACGACGATCCGGTCGAGGAGACGGTGCTCGCAGTGGGCGGAGGAGCGCAGCTGTTTCCCAACAAGGGCATCCCAGAATCAGCCGGCCCATCGGTGCTGGATACGGTCGTGGACGGGGCCCGCGAGCTCGTGGGGAAAGCGAAAGAACCGCTGCAGCAGCGGAGGAGCAGGCCTTGCGTGCGAGAAGCGAATTCGACCGAGCGGAGCGCAGGAAGGAGGAGAGGGAGCAGTTCGAGCGGGTCAAGGGTGGCTGGCGGAGCAACGCGTTTGATTGGACAGGATCTACGTAGCATGTGCAGCTGAATCAGACTGGGAGGTTTTAGGCGGAAGCGGAACTGCGGTGACGTCCCCGTGTCTGAACAGGCGTCTGCCGGTCCTCGTGATGCGCAGGACCGACTTGCAGTTCGGGTCTGGGCAGGCGACGTCGGTGTCCGTCGTGATCCAGTCGTTCGCGTGCGAGACGCGCTGTTTCGCAGCGAGGAGCGAGAGGACTGCCGCTTGACGGGAGGTCAGCTTACATGTCGGCGACGCAGGTAATGGCACGACTTGCACAGCGAGTAGATGGAGAAGCCCTGACCGGGGGGTAGATGCAGCATCTCCCCTTCGAGCGTAAAGTGGTCCCCTGGCTTGGCACCGCAGAGAATGCGCTCTCCGGGTGGGCATATGACTTCGACGCGCAGATCGTACAGCTCAAACGAATCGTCCATCATAGTGCGAGTCTCAGTGACAGTGCGGATAGAAACGCGATCCACGTGACTACTAGGTGACAAAGACTGTTGGATCAGATCCCGATTCGGATAATTAAAGTTCATTTTCAACTATTTACAAACTGTCACTGTTCGCGTCGAAATCGACTGCCGGGCTGAAGTAACCCAGCTCCCTCGTCTCGCTGAGATCGCGCGGAAGAAACGGAATGGCGCCCGGGGCCGCGAACATCCAGAACTGGCTCGCGGAGTTGTCTGCCGTCGGCGGAAGCAGCAGCACCTAGCCGGAATGATGTGATTTCAGCGCCAATGCTCAATCGCTGCAGCAGGAAACGGCCGCTTGCCTCGGATCCAGCGTCAGGGTTGTACGTCCACACCGATCCGTCCGGTGCGCCAATCTGCGCGCAAAATAGGGAGGATGAGCGTCGGCAGACGAGAGGAGTGGCTGGGGTTTTGGTTGGCTCACCGTCCAGTAGTCGATGTGCGAGTCGGGGATCATCCCGCCGTCGCCCGGGAAGTCGGCCGTTCCGGATAGCACGAGCGCGAACGTGCTGGACCTGTTGGCGGTCGTGCCGATGTACTGGCCCTGCGCGCGCGAGAAGAAGATCGAGTGAGTTAATGCCATTCACGGCGATGCGGAGGAACGGAAACGCGTGTCACCTGTCCAGGGGTTACTTGCGCCCACCGGCCGGCATCGACGCTGTGCATGGTGATCCCGTCGAGCGCGCCCGGGGGTGTGAGGACGTCCCACTGCAGTATGTTGCTCGTCAGCCGTGGGGCTCTGCGCAGCGCGTGGACGTGGACGTACGAGGCTGTGGCCCCCCGAGAACGCGGGCGGGACGTACACGCGGCTGTGCGCCGCGTCGACGGAGACCGGCGCGTACGGGTGCGCGAGGTTGACGACGTGGTACTGCCCCGGCTTCAGCTGGGTCTGGGGGGGGGGGCGTGGGCATAGTCAGTCTCGAGCGGATGGCCACGTATGGGGGAACCGACCGCAAAAAGGCCGTGGACGAGCAGGAGCGAGGTCAAGATCTGGGCGAACATGGTCCTGAGTGTGTGTATCCTCCGAGTGGGCGTTGCGAACAACAGCTGAGGCCCACCCCGCTTGGGGCGGTCGAGGTTTATATACTCCCACTCAGGAAAATAATACTTAGGATTCATCGATCAGCGGAGGATCGGCTCTCGCTTCGGCGAGCGTACATAAGAGAAGCGAAGCAAGACGGAGGTGGAGAATCCTCCGCTGCGGTAAGCGCCCCACGGAGGTCTCCGCACGGCGGGCTTCCCCGGTTTAGGCTCGCCACGGGTGCGGAGGCTCGAGAGGAAGAAGCACGCAAGGTTCGGTCACGCACGCTCTTGGCCCCCTACGGCACACGGAGGGAGCCCGACTGCACAGGACTGTTCGGCAGCCAACAAATCGGAGTTTTCGGTCTCTTCCTTTTTTTTTAGACGCACACTTTGCTCCAAGCGCTAAGGATGTGAGGACATGCTCCAAACAGGTACAGTACCACTCCCAAACAGGCACAAGTGCGATGCAATACAGTAAGTTATAATCCAGGTCAGCCAGTGCCGTAATTACCAGTCAGAAATCGAGAAATTACAGGGACCAAGTCTCCCAGTGCGTTCTGTACATCTGAAACAACTGAATCTGCTTTACGGAAACTTGTTCGCGGGCATCCGAGCCGGACAAACTGCTGAGCTGACGAACAGTCATGCGACCCATCAAGTTCCTGCCTTTGCCGCCTTCGCCGAGCGAACCGTCGGCCAGATTCTGGTTCCGCTCCTGGAGGGGCGAGAGTGCGGGTCCTCGTCCGTATTCATGATCACGTATCGTTTCGCGCTGCTGGTCCAAGCGATGTCTGCGGCTTGTGTACGGGAAACGATGCCATCAAGGCAGCGAGACTTTTGGCGTAGATGAGGGCTCCCTGCCACACTTGAAAGACGCGGACATGGCGCGCGCGCTCACCTCGTACACCGGCACCTGCACAGCCTCGTTACGCTGCTCGACCGACATGTTGCCGTCGGCGATCCCTTCCTACATGAAAAGTCCGATACGATGTTCAGGCAGGACGTCCACTGCGACAGGACCAACGTACGTATTTTGGTACGGCTTTGTTGTCGTCGCTCGAATCTCGGATCCGTTTCGTCGCCGCGTTCAGCTTCGTTGACGGTGATGGCGACACGTGCGCAGGGCACGGTCACGGTCTTGACCGCCAGCGCCTTCTGGTCCTCGACCGACACTTGCTTCACGTGCTGTCTCGTTGGGCCAATGACTCCAGGGTCGACGTCGCCGTCGACCGAATCGAGAGCGATAATGGGCCGCCGACCCTGAATCTGCCGCTTCTTCCCTCCTCGTCGCTCAGGCCCTTCTAGTCCCGGTCGTTACTAGCCTCGGGTCAGGTGCTGTCATATACTTGCGGGCCAGGAATTAACGATCTTGGGTCTTGCTCTTTGAATTCTTGTCCGGCATCTCGGCTTCCACATCCACGATCTTGCCATACTCGGAAACACCGTACCACAAGCGAGGAAGGTCCAGCACACCAGACATGCAGGAGGCTCTCCACTCCACAGATACAAACATGGTTTGACACACATCGCGCGCACTTCCACGCGAGCCACGTGATCGCGATAACTCTTTGGACTACCACCTACTACCACTTATGAAACCCTTGGATGTGACTTGGACGTGCTAGCTACGGAACCTACTGGGCCAGGAACTCTGCGACGACCTCGAGGTAGCGCTCCTGCTCCTCGTAGAACGGCATGTGGCTGCTCTCGGCGAACTCGACCCACTTGACGGGACCACGGATGTGCGTGAAGAACGGCGCGACGGCGAGGTTGCGCGCCTCGTCGAAGCGGCCGTTGAGCACGAGCGTCGGGGCTGTGATGTGCTGCAGCTCGTCGACGACGGACCAGGTCTTGAGCGAGCCCGTGACCGTGAACTCGGACGGCCCATTCCTGGTTGGCACCGGCCCGGGGTGAGTATGTACATAGAACCAACGCGATTGGTGGGTTTTGCACGCACATCGTCATGTACACCGTCGGATCCTTTGCGAGGTCCGCAAACGCCTGGTTCAGATCCTCGGGCCAGACCTCCAGCCGACACACGTGCTTTCTGTAGAACTCCTGCAGCGCGTCCTGGTACTCCTGGCTCTCGGTCGTCCCGGCCGCCTCGTGGCGGGCCAGCAGCGCGCGGAAGCCCGCGGGGAACTGCGCCAGCAGCTGGCCGCACCCCTCGACCCACAGCGCCATCGACGCCGGCGAGTCGGAGATGACGAGGCGGTGCAGGTGCGCGGGCCGCCGGTGCGCGGCGTACGTCGCGGCGAGCATGCCGCCCCACGAGTGCCCGAGCAGCGCGAACCGGCCGATGCGCAAGTGCGCCACCACGTGCTCGAGCTCGTCCATGAACAGCTCGACGGTCCAGAACGCGCCCGGCTTGTCCGCGAGGTGCGTCGAGCGCCCACAGCCGAGCTGGTCGTACATGATCACCGCGTTGTGGGCCCCGCGCTGGGCGAGCTGCGCGAGGGGCTGGATGTAGCCGTGCGGAACGCCCGGGCCGCCGTGCAGCACGATGAGCGGGATCGCGGCTTTGCTGAGGTCGCCGTAGACCCAGTAGGCGGTCTGGACCGTGTCTTGGCCGACTTTCCAAGTAATCGTGCCCGATGTCTCCATGGTGGGAGTGGACAAGCAGGGTATGAGAGTATTGTGATATATATATATATGTACATACATGCATGAGAGCGTAGTTACCATTTCAATACACCGTCTCCTGAACCACAGTGGTCGTCGAAATGTCCTCCACCACAACGCCGCCGCCTCCTGTGTAATCGACCACGGCGATATCCTGCTGCTGCACGATCGTCTCCTGCATGACCTGATTCCCGCCCACAGCGTAATTGTTGTTCACATTCCCACCCGCCGCCCCGCCGCCCTGCAGAGCGGAAGCGCCGGCGCTGGCGAGCGTCGCGACCCCGCTCGCCACCTGGATCAGACTGGGATCGACGTTAAGGGTGTTCCCCACAAGCCCCAGCAGAGCGCCCGTCGTCGACGCGGTCGTCGCCGCCTGGTTCTGGTTCTGGTACTGGTACTGATTCGCCTGGTTCTGGTACTGATACTGCGTGTTCGCAGTGGGCGTCCCGTTCATCGCGTTGACGATGTTGTTCAGGCCCTGCGCCGCCTTGAGCCCCAGCGAGAGCCCGCTCGACCATGACAGCTTCTGCGGCGCCGTCGCCTGTGCCGATGGCCGCGGTGGCCGCTGGGGCTGCAACTGCGGCACAGTGTATTCCGCGGCGGCAGGCAACGGCGCGTACGCCGGCGGGGGCACGAACGTGCTCTCTGCGGGGTAGGCGTTGTCCGCTGTTGCGGCGTACGTGACGCTCGCTGTCGCCGGCGATGTAGCCTGATAGCTGGATGTCGTTCCCCCCGAGGTTGGTACACCGGTCGAAGCGGACTGCGTGCCACCTGATGTGATGTTGGACGACCCATATGATGGAACCGACGGACTGCCCGAGCTCGCCATTGATGAGGTCTGCTGCATGGAATTCATATTGCTTGACGAAATATTCTGCGACGTCGATGCCTGGTACCCCGAGCTCGTCGCCGTCGTCGAAGAAGTTTGTGGCACCATGTTCTGGGACGTCGATGCGTCCTGCTGCACGTGGTTCATGCTGCTTGCTGCTGAAATATTCTCAGTCGTTGATGGCTGGTACCCTGAGCTCGTCGTCGTCGTCGTAGCCGTCGAGGTTTGCGGAACCATGTTTTGGGACGTCGACACCGCCTGCTGCACGTGGTTCATGCTGCTGGCTGAAGCATTTTGGGACGTCGATGCCTGGTACCCTGCGCTCGTCGTCGTCGTAGCCGTTGTCGAGGAGACTTGCGGCACCTGGCCCATGTTCTGCGACGTCCATGCTTCGTGTCCAAATGCAGGAGAACTGGTCTCCGACAGCGGCGACGTCGTGTAAGGAGCGCTCATCGAAGCGTGCTGAGCGTGTCCATAACCTTGCGCTTGCATCGTCGGCGATCCCCCAGCGGAGTACGACGCAGAATGGGAGTGCATGGACGGCGGGCGCTGCTGGCTGCCAGACGCCGAACTCGAGCCCGTGTATTGTGGCTGGATCATCGGCGATCCCGACGCATGGGAGTTGACACTCGACACGGATGGCGGCCGCTGATGTCCGATGGAAGGAGACGGAGAAGGTAGGGCGCTGCCGGCGGGCCCGCCGACGGAAGGAGCGTGGACTGCTGGGTTCGCCACGGGCTGAGGCATGACCACGGGCTGGGGCATGACCACGGGCTGGGGCATGACCACGGACTGGGGCACGACCCCAGATTGGGGGATAGCTACGGACTGCACTTGCTCAGGAACAGAAGGATGCGGGAGTGCAATCGGATTCGGCATTTCTGGCGCAGGAGTCGGTGCCGGACTAGGCACAGCGGGAAGCTGGGCAGCCGGACTCGATCCCCCAGCAGTGGACAGCGGAGGACTGGTTCCTCCGGCGGCGGAAACGACACTTGGCGAACTTTGCACGGGAACAGCCTGGATCTGCTGGCTGACATGGGTCACATCCGCGCCCCACTTGGTCGGGAAGTTCCACGTCGCAGAGCCGTCGCCATATACCGCGTAGTATTCGCCAGCGATGAACGGGTTCAGTGCAACATACTGCGCGCAAAAAATTGAGTCCCACGGAAAAATAAATAAATCGATATGCACCCACCATCACGCCGCGCTTCCTCGCGGCCTCCGTCGTATCGCGGATAAGCCGATCCACCATCGGATAATGCCCCCTGAGATCAAACGTCACCGTCCCGTCGCTGTACAGCGCAACGTACGCGCCCCCAACGCCGAGCGCCACAGCCACCGGCCGGCGCGTCTTCATGCAATCGAGCAGATCGTCCTCGAGCGCAAGGGGCAGCTTCTGCCAGCTGTACCCTGCACCCGACATCGAGAAGTAGCTCTGCCCCGGCCCGAACACCGTGCGCGTCGTCTTGTCGCCGCGGCGGTGCGTCGCCTGCATGAAGCGCATCAGGCGCGTATACGGCCGACCGAGGAAGTTCGCTGGCAGTGGCGCGGATCAGATGGGTATGTATGCGGATCGCGAGCAGCAGCATGGGGGTAGGATAGGATAGGACACGCACCCTCGAACGCGTTGCGCCCCGCCGCCGTCCGCCAGCACGCGCCGAATGTGTTGGCCTCCATCGGGAACGACACGTCGTGCGGCGCCGCGAGGGCGTCGATGTGGTTCCGGTTGAGCAGCAGGCGCGTGAGGCCAGCCGGGATCGCGTTCGCGCTCCTGCCATCCGTGCGAGATCAGTCAGCACGGTGTGTAACTCATTCAGAGCAGAGAGCGCGCCACCATGCGTACGCGGACCCCGCGCTGCAGAAGTACGACCGGTTCTGGCCGAACGAAAACTGCACGTTCATCGCTGGTGACTCAGAGAAAACGGAGGAGGAGAGGGGGGGTGGGGGGCTGTCGCTCGATGCGGAAAGGTAAAGCATGTATCCCCGTCGTGGATGTCGTTTTATGTGGACCCTGTCCGTCGGAAAGGCTGTACAGATTCTAGATTCAATATCAGCGCGTCAAGGAATACTCTAAGCGGATAGCTATGAACTGACCTGGAGCCTGAGGCGTGGGGAGGACAAGGGCGCCGCTAAATCCAATCAGCAGCCCCTGTCAAAATGTTCAACGTCAACTTGGACTGATGTGCAGGGAGAGGGTAGCAAGCATATATGATATATGATACATGCAGGCCTTGGCGGATCCGGGATGCGGTGCAAGATAGAGCACAGAAAGCGGTATTTTTTCAGCGATATTCGCTAGGGAATGTACGACGGGATAGGGACGGAACCATAGCGCAGGTCAGCCACGAGTTGATAGCCATCTATAGACTAAGGCTTGTTGAGGCCTGCTGAGACGTCCCGCAAAATGCGCGGCCGCATAAGCGATTTCAGACGAGATCCAAGCGTCCGCAGCACGGATGATCACTGGGGATGTATGTGTGCTGGACGGTGAAGTTGGGAGCAGGCCTGTAACCGTCAAGCGATCACATCAAATTGATGGGAATGATTGATAGTACTGCCACCTGCAATGGCAGGTCTTCCTTCAGTCGCTGTCACGGTCATCTGTGCAAGTGTTCCTAGCCGTGAATCTGATCGGCGAGGTCGGAGTGCAGAGTGCTGTGGATTTTGAAGCAAGAGTATCAGATCTGGGCGGTACGCGCCCTTATCGCAGAATACAGACCGGCTCAGTGTCCCGGGCACGGGTCCGGAAAAGCGGCAAGTCTCAAAGCACCGGTCCTAGCTAAACGGAGCATTGAGCTGGTTGGACTGGAAGGAATCACAGTCATGCAGCGACTGCGCTCGGGAAATAGTCGGAATCGTGGAGCCTGGAACTGCCTTGGTGATGCCGCCGTCACTGTCGCTTCGTCGGGATGGGACGCGCGCGGGCTTAAGAGCAGCTCCCCGCGGGGTATTTATGATACCACTATCGAAAGTATCGAGACTATCATCGTTCGCCGCGAAGCCCATCTGCCAAAATTCAGATCGCGCGCGTGTCCAGGAGATCGTCCGAATTCAGATAGCTCTAGCTAGACTCTCCACAGACATCGGTGACTCGACTTGACGACGCTGAACTCAATACGTCACCGGAAACGGCATGGTATCAACAGAAGCCAGTCAATTTCCGCTGCGGAACTACGGAGGCGCACTGGGATCCTGATTCCTCTACTTACTGCATCCGGAAGAAGGACACTGGACGATGCAAGTCGCGGACCGCTCCGGGGGAATTCTCAACTGACAAAACTTGGCAGCCAGACGCTTGGCGACATCAGCTCACCGCCCACTTGCTCTCTTCCTCGCACGCACTACTTACAATCGCACCGTCTGGCGAGGCGCATGCCCCCGTTCATGGAGCGTCTCAAGCGCGCCAGCTCTGGCATCGGCATGCCGTGGGACAAGGTGCGCAGACCCGCTCGTCCGCGTGCGAAGACACGCTTCCGCAGCCTCCAATTTCTTACCACGCCGTGCGGCGTATTTCAGACCGAGCAGCCTGGCTGGGGAGCCATCGAGACGCACCGCGCGCTGTACGAGAACCTCACGAACCCGGACCAGCGCCAGGCGCAGGCGATTCGGGAGAACATAAAGAAAGCGAGCATGGAACGCGGGGGTGCGTCGGCGCTCGACTCGCGGACTGAGGGCTGAGCTGAGCAGTACAGTGCGGGATCTGTCTGCGGGATATGCAGCTGTCGTCGACGCCGTGGCAGGCGGCCAAGGAGTGAGTTTGCAATCACGTTGCTGATCCCCCTCCCCCGCCCTTCTCATTGATGTCTTTCTCAACAGCCAGTTGCACATACCGCGCAGGGAACGAATCTTATATGGGCTGTACTTCAAGTCGTGCAAGCACGCGTTCTGCGGGGTGCGTGGAATCCCTCTCTCTGCGCCGCTTGCTTACTATCACCCGACCGGCGGCACCAGGCGTGCTTCTCGTCCTCGATCTTCAGGCACCTCAATGTGATATTCAACCCCCGTGCATACGGGACGGTGATGGGGCCCATGGAGATGTCTGAGCCGGGGTTGAAAGCCAACTTCGTGCGAGCCGAATTGTGCCCGGTGAGTATCTACGAGTGCATTATGCATCGCTTCGCCGGGAACTGACCGCTGATCGGCCCAGGGCTGTCCCCCTGGCAAACGCGCGTCTAGGATCTCGAGGAACATCGCGGAGATCGTCCTGGGCCCAGATAACATGCAAGATTGGGACTTTGCCGAACATCTTGCGTCGATGGACATCATTGACTGGTTGGTGCACCCATTACAATCTCGTGCTGGACTGGTGCGCTAACGACGATCGTGGGATAACAGCCCATACCGCTGCGGGGAGAGTTTCGACCTGGCCACGTCGCCGACGCTCAGAGGGAAACCGGCGGTGCAGGTGCAGTGCCTGCGGTGCCGCGGCTATATCTGCAAAGCGTGTAGGTGCAAGTGGCATGAAGGTTTGTCGACGACTACATATCTGTGTTCGACTGGTCATCACTTACCCTCTGCGCCCCAGACTTGACCTGCAGCGCGTACCGGTTCTGCCTATGCACCGACAATCCATAGGAGACCGGGAGTTTTTGGAGCTGATCGAGCGTGAGAGTTGGAAGCGATGCCCGAAAGTGAGCCCGTCCGCCCATTGGCAAGCTCGTCCCAGTGGAGTTGATCTTCGTTCCCAGTGTCGGCAGACCATCGAGCGACAGGTGCAGCACCATCTCCCTCCCTCTAGACTCCCATCTGACAATCACATGCCATCTCAGTATGGATGCAAGTGAGTGAATCCCGCACAACACTTCCGAGCTCGGTCTTATATCTGCTTCCAGCCACATGACCTGTGTTTGTGGGCACCACGTCCGTCGCGCCGCCCTCATTGACTCGCTCATTTCGCTGACCCATCCGCAGTTCTGCTATGCATGTGGGGCAGATTTCGCGCAAGTCAACGGCCGTTTCCGCTGCTCCGGCACCGGATGCAAGGTGTGGCCGTGGGAACAAAAGGTTCCCTGACACGGATGAAGATGCATCGCGATGGATGTGGAGGGATGTGTGTGCCTTTTTTGGTGGACCTGGATGATACCCAAACGAGTCGTAATTTGTGATTTCCTCTCCTCTCCAAGTCTGCTCAGTAGTCGTTTCGGTGTCATCGGCAGGACAGGACGGGGAGCGCGTTGTTGAGAGCCAGTGGAAAATGAGCGTGCGAAGTGGACTCGGACTTGTCTGATGAATGAACCTCATTTACATTGGCCAGCCACCCTCAGTTTGAAACAAATAGCTCGAGGAAAAACAGATACGTCGCGCAGATTGTCGATACAGCGTATGATATAGATTCTGTTCCAGGGCGAAACGCAAAAGTGGGGTCATATCCGAATTGGAAGTAACTGCGAGTTCGGTATAGACATGGGTGGGAAACGGTAACATGGCTGGTGAAATAGCACCGGATACAATTCACATGAACCTCTGGCCTCTACCGGTCGTCTATTACCTACTCTGCCGCAGACTCAACTTACAGCGCTTACCGGATCCTGAATGTGCACCGACGATCGGCAGGAGACTGAAAATTCATTCGGCGGGACGCGCCCATTGAAAGCCATTCCCAAAGGTGAGCTAGACATGATCAGCGTTGCAATAAGATCAGGTCCTCCTTCTGTGTCGGCCGGTGGTTAAACGTCGGGTGTGCTTCCTGTGTTGAAACTCCAGCTCAAGATTGGATGGCTCGCGAGTATGGATCCGGGTAAATAATCCCACACGCCACTCAATGTTCTGTCAGCCACACCGCATGCGTTTGCGGTCGCCATGTCCGTCGCGCCGCCCCTCATTGACACTCTTAGATGCCGAGCCGTCCACAGTCCGGTATGCTTGTGGGCCAGACTTCCCACAGGTTGACGACGGTCGATCCCGCTGCTCCGGCACTCGATGCGTGGAACGACAGATTGACCTTGAGCGAAAGCAACGCATGACACCGGAGATATTCCTCGGTGGTCGTCGTTGATAACCGGAACAGGTTCGATTACTATTCCTACTACACATTGACCGTCGTCTCGGGTGCGAGCGCGGCGTCAGGAATAATAGGCACGGGCGCTTGCGCGAGTGTGGGCGGCGGCCGGAGGATGAGCGTGCCTAGTCGAGGTGGTGTGCTCCGTCGGATGAACTCCATTTTGGTGGGCAGTTTCGCGGCGGCGATGCGGAGAGCTATAAGCCGTGCATATGAGTGCAGGAAGGCGAAGGGCTAGACGGTGCAGACCTTCGCGTGCGAGCTCCTCTCGGATGGGGGTCCCACCGATTTCAACAACAACGCGACCGGTGGAGACTCTGCAGACCATGAGTTCCGCTTACTTGGGAAGGGTGTAGCTTTGTTACCGGGAAGCCCAGAACTCGAATGTACCCTTTCCTTTCCCCATACGGGTTTCGTTTCCCTATTTCGCGTCTCATAAACCACTGCAGCGCCTGCTAAGAGCGCTCCCCGACACACCTTGATGCAGACAGGGATATCCGGGAAGATGCGCAGGTAGACCTTGACGCCCTTGATAATCTTCAGCTTCTTCTTCACGACCTCCTCGACAGTCTCCAGCTGCTTCGCAGTGAGACGCGCGCCATTTCCCTTAATGCGCAGGCCCCAGTCGCCGTACGCGAGCGTCGTGCCTTTGATCGACCCGCCGATGGGGATGGGCACACGGCCCTTGTGCCGCTTGACGTGCTTGACTTTCCGCGGCGCGAGGTTGTTGCGCTCACGCGTGAACACCGTGTGCGGCTGCAGGGGGCGGCGGGCGGCGGAGAGCACCGTGCGCGCCAGCGACTGCAGAGAAAACATGATGAAGTAGGTGATGGAGGGTAGAATTGATTGATTGACAGTAAACAAACGCACACAGTACTCCTCGTCGCCGACACTCCACGCGACAGGATGAGCGACAAGAAACGCGCCTTCGATGGGACAGGCGAAACATCTAGCAACAAAAAACTCAAAAGGCAAGCTCTCCTTCGCTCGCCGGACATGCACCAAGCTAATATGGGTTTGACACCCCCTCCGTAGCGACGTGAGTGGTTTCTCGTTCACCCAAGGTGAATTCACCCCACCCAATATCACTCTGACGCGATTCTATAACCTCTCTTACCACAGAAACCGACGAATGTGGCCGCCGCGCCAGCCGTAAGTGTCTGCGCTACTCAGAAGAGACCTACATACTGATCGACCTCCGGTATGTGCAGCTCACAGGTGCCGCCCTCATCGCACAGAAGCGCGCGGAAATCGCGGCCAAGCTGGCTGCGATGAAGAACCCCGCATTGTCCGCCGTCTCGTCCTCCGCACCCACTCCCGCCGCAGCGAAACCGCCGGCACCCGCAATCGACACGAAGAAAGTGAAGAACATGATCCAGGATGCGCAGAGCAGGCTTGCAGTGAAGGACAACCCGTATGCCGTGCGTGCCTTGCTCTTCAAAAAACTACCCTGCCTGATGTAAACGCGCAGGCCGTATCGCAAGCGTCGAAGAACAAAGCGCGAGCGGCTGCAGAGCCCGCACCACAGAGCGTCGGGCTGAAGATGGCCGCCCACCCTCTACTCCTGGACACGACGCCCGCGGCTCCTCAGTCGAAGAAGGACCGTTATAAGCCGATGCAGCCCAAGTTCGCATCCATCAAGGTAGGCTCTGAGCACATTGTCTCGTGCCCCGCTCATCTGTCCACGCAGGCCAATGTGCGTAACGCACCCACGCCGCCTCCGGCCCCGGTCGTGCCGGTTGTCGTCGAGTCTGCGAATCCCTATACAGCGGCAGCAGCGGCGGCGTCGTCATCCAAAGAACCTGGATTGTTCGAGGGCGCCCCACGGGAGCGCACTGGCCGGAATTTCCGATTCAATCCCAAGGGCAAGTACGTTGCATTGGGGAGCCAGATGCGTCAGGAGCAGCAGCTCGAGGCCCTGAAGCAGCGTATCGCGGAGAGCGCGAGGAAAGCGGGTTTGGATGGGGACATGGGCATCGAGCGGGGGATCAAGGTCTGCTCTGCGTTCCAGTCTTCCATCATGTGTTAAGCGGCATGTTTAGCGGCCTCCACCGCCAGATGCTGAATGGTGGGACCAGCCGTTGCTGCCCAACAAAAAGTATGAGGATATCGAGCTTGGGATCGAGCATCTTAATATCCGGAACAACGAGTCGCCTATTTCGATATACATCCAGCATCCCATTCCCATTCCTGCCCCTGGCGACAAAGACTCGGTGCAGCTGAAGCCCCTGATGTTGACGAAGAAGGTAAGGTTGTTTGGATGCCGACTTTCCCAGTTGTTCAAACGAGGATACACAGGAACGGAAGAAGATGCGTAAGCTCAAGCGGGCTGCCGAGCTACAAGATAAGCGGGATCGGGTGGCCATGGGGCTTATTCCCCCTGACGCGCCGAAAGGTTGGTATTTTGCTTCATATTCCTGGATAAGATTATCAACGTTTTGCAGTCCGGCTGTCGAACATGATGAAGGTGCTGACGTCGGATGCTGTGCAAGACCCGACACGGGTGGAGGCGAGAATCCGGCGGGAAGTAGCGATGCGGAAGCACGTGCACGACAAGACGAACGCGGAGAGGAAGTTGACTGACGAGGAGCGACGTGAGAAGTTAGAGACGAAGAAGGCGGAGGAGGACAAACGTGGAGTATACGGGGCGGTGTTCAGGTGCGTAGTCCCCCCATTTGCTCTGCCTGTACTTACTTATGGATGGCCTGCAGGGTGCTTACGCTATCGGACCCCGCTCACCGTTTTAAAGTGCGAAAGAACGCAGAGCAGAACAACCTGACCGGAGTCTGCATATTCAACAAGCAGTTCAGCATGGTCTATGTCGAAGGGGCGGCCAAGTATCTGCGACACTACAAGAAGCTGATGCTCAACCGAATCGATTGGACACAGGCAGCCAGGCCTCGCGGTGGAGAAGACGTGGTGTTGGACGACGGTGGCGACGATGGGGACAAGGCAAAGGCCAAAGAGGACGGCAAGGAGCAGCAGGAGCAGGAGCAGGACGGGGGCGTGCCACTCGAAGACAACAAGTGTGTGCTTATTTGGGAAGGCATGCTCCGGGATCGGTCGTTCCACGACTTCAAGGGCCGGAGTTGTCCCACGGACCACGCTGCGAGAGAGTTGTTGGGGGATAAACTGAAAGGCTACTGGGATCAGGCCAAGAACTGGAAAGACGAGGACGAGTTTTAGGGACAACGCTAAGTCGTTTATTGAATAATGCAAATCAATTGCAACAGATGGACAGAAGAAGTGGGACTGTGCTACGCTAATCTCAATGGGCCGGACGATGATGATGATAAGTTGACGAGTGTATCCACATTAGCGAGATGAGATTGGGGGGTATATGTAATCAGATGTTAAATCGGATCAGAAGAAGAACGCGAGGAGCGCGGCGGCTGCGACGAGCCGGGCCGGGGCACTGAGGGCCGTGCCCGCGCTTTTGCCGCTGCCAGTCAGGGCACCCTGCACGGAGACAGGGGAGGACGAGTCTCCGGCAGAGGTGCCGGCAGCGGAGCCGGCGACCGGGCCGCCACCAACGTTGGCAACAACGTCCGTAGGGACAGGGGCGACGGAGGAGGAAGTCGAGGACGGCTGGGCGACGGACGAGGGCTTCACGAAGAAAGACGGCTTAGCAGAGGCCGAGGACGAAGACGAGGGCTTGGCGGACGACGATGAGGGCTTGGCAGAGGACGACGACGGCTTGGCGGACGACGACGTGTGGTGCGTGGACGTGCTGCTGGTCGTGCTTGTGGTGCTGGTCGTGCTCGTTGTGCTAGTCGTCGTGGGCGTCGCGGTCGTCTTGTGGGTCGTCTTGGTGGACGTGGTGGTAGGCGGGGGCGGGGGCGGCGGGGTCCACGTCGTGGTCGGGGTGGCCGTCGTCTTGTGGGTGGTAGTGGTCTTCTGGGCGGTGGTCGTTGTCTGTTGGTTGCCACCGCCGTTTCCGCCATCATTTCCACCACCGCTACCAGCATACCACCAGTCGCCTTGGAAGACACCTTGGCCGAGATCTGACTCGAAGAACTGGAACAGGCCCTTGGTCATGTCCAGCGAGGTCGGAGTGTCGCAGGTCATGCACTATAGCATACTTTATGAGCATGCGAGTATGACTATAATGATAAAAGAACAAACCTCGTCCACGCAAGTGGCTGTTGTCTGCTTGCCATTGTACGAGATGGTGATCTGCTTGTTGCAACACGGGGACCCATCCCCAAACATCCGCCGGTCCATCGCGACATACTGACAAATGGTGAGCTGCAGAACAGTGGAAGAGACGGTAACTCACCCAGTCGCTGTCGCTGTGTGTCTTGCCCGTGCATGCATCTCTGAGACGGGCATCAGTCGCCGCACGTGAAAAAACAACAGGACGACAAAGCAACTTACGGGCCAGTGTCGGTCGGATACCAGGTCATGGTGCCGCTGTTACTGCGCTTGGAAAGAGTGGACTCGGTCTCGTTGGTGGAGCGGCTGCTACTACGGAAGACAGCATTGTGCTTGCGCGCCTCATGCGAGTGGCTGGCGACGACAGAGGACGCAGTCGTCAATAAAATCGCGAGTGAGATGGACGCCGCAGAGAGCATTGTTTATGTATGGTTAAAGCTAATGAGCGTGAGGGAGGGCGGACCCGAGACGTGCGTGATGAAGGGGGGAGTAGAGAGAGGGTAGGAGAGGGTTGTCAAATGTTGTCAAGTGCCCGGTAGATAATATCAGTGATCGCCATCAATGCCTTGTTGTCGCCTAAACCTGCATGCGAGATTTTTTTTCTCCCCGCCCAGTTTGCTCTTCACAGGAGCCACAAGGAGCAGGTGACATCACGGCACTGTGCTTGGCGGAGCAAGGAGTCGCGGTCTCGGGCAAGGAGAGGAGAGGCTATCTCGGTGCCTCGGCGAGCACCATGCGTCCACGCCTGTCCATCGACTCAGTCGCTGTCAGCGTTTGAAGGCGCATCTAGTCTGTCATGGTCGAGACTCGATACTTAGTACGGGGCAGTAATTGTATGGGACTAGGTATCAAGAGCCTTGCGGGGCCAGCATTTTGATTCGTCACACCACTTGCCGAGGAGGTGATTCCATGATCGCTTGAGGTAAACGCTTGCTTCGGCTGGCAGGTGTTTGCAATCAAGCAGGGAAAGAAACGGACAACAGCGAGGACGGGAGACCAAGGAGGGGAGCTGCGTAGCCTACGTGAGAGCGAAAAGGGAGTGGCCAGCAAACGTAATCAATGCAGATGCCCAGAAATGTTGGGATCGATCATGGGCGGCTGGGAAGGATGAGATAACTTCAGCGAGTTGTATTCGGTGGTTGCCGGCAACAATCTACGTATGTAAGTGATAGTGCAGTCCGGGAGGAAGTCCGTTATGTATGATGCGTCAATCGAATGCAGGATTGCCTGTCCGGCAAGCATGTATCGGTATCTCCTGGAATACCGACTGTCTAGAGCACGAACACAACCACAGAGCTCAGAAGGGCCACAAGCAACACAGATTGGCCTGACGCGCCGTGGGCGACCGCGCCACTCAGTGCACCACCAGGCGCAGGAACAGACGGCGTCGTGTCGGCACCCGCGTTGGCAATTGCCTGGGTGGCAGCCACAGACGCAGTCGTTGCGACGCTGCCGACAAGCGTCAACGGCGATTCAGTTGTCGCCGCAACCGTAGGCTTTACTGATGTAGGCTTCACGGATGACGGCTTCGCGGACGACTGCTTCAACGCAGAAGAGGACGATGCGTGGGCCACGAGCGCAGCCGCGGAATGCGTGGACGTGTGCGACGAAGTGTGCTTGGTCGAAGTCGTAGTCGGCGTTGTGTGAGTCGAGCTGGTGGTTGGAGTGTGAGTCGTCGAAGTGGTAGTCGGAGTGGTGTGGGTCGATGTGGTGTGAGTGGTGGTCGGAGTGGTGTGGGTCGACGTCGTAGTCGGAGTAGTGTGAGTGGACGTCGTGTGAGTGGTGGTCGGGGTGGTGTGTGTGGTCGAGTGCGTCGAAGTTGTGGTCGGCGCAACGTAAGTCGACGAAGTTGTGGTCGGTGCGACGTAGGTCGATGATGTAGTAGTCGGCGCAACGTAAGTCGATGATGTGGTCGGCTCGACGTAAGTCGATGAGGTAGTGGGCGCGACATAGGTCGATGTGGTAGTCGGCGTCGTGTGGTGTGTCGAAGTGGTGGTAGGTGTCGTGTGGGTTGTCGACGTGGTGGTGGGTGTCGTGTGAGTCGAGGTTGACGTCGTCGTCGTGCCATCGGCATACACCCAAGACGCATCAAACACACCTATGTTCAAGTTACATCAGCTATTGCAATCACGTAAATAGTAAAACCCACCAATCCCGGGATCACCAACAAAGTAGGTGAACAAGCCTTCGGTCAGATCCAGTTCACCGTGGTTGTAACAGCTCGCACACTAGTTATGTGTGTGAATAAATGGGGTCCCAAATCCTGAAGTTGAACGCACCTCGTCAACGCACGTGGCAACCGCAGTCTTTCCACCGTATGCGATTTGTATCTGCCGTCCGCAGCAGGCAGACCCATCCCCGAACAGCCCGAAGTCCATCGCAACAACCTGCACAGATATATCATGTTCACATTGACTCGAAGCAAGCTGGTACTAACCCAATCAGTCGAGAGGTGGTTCTTGCCCGTGCACGCGTCGCTGCGAGAAGTTAAACAGAAATGAACGTCGAAAGCAGCTAGCCGAGACGCACGCGCCAGTGTCCGTCGGGTACCAGGTCATGCGCACGCCAGAGAAGCTCGACTGCCGCTTTTCGAGGGCAACAGCATCAGAGGCATTGAACGTCTTGACGCTACCGACTTGCATCTGTCGGTGGTGGCTGCGCGGTGCATTGTGCGGGCTGGCGGAAACAGAGCCGGCATAGAGGACGAGAACAGCAGTGAGGAGAGCGGGATTCAACATAACAGAGCGAGTGTGTGTACTATGTTTCAAAATCAAAGAGAGTGAGAGCGTCCTTGTCGATCAAGAACTTATACGGTTGAGGGAAGGAGATGGGGGAAGGAGACAACGTGGTTGTTGGTTGCAAAATAAACACGCCCTCGTAACGGCTCCATTCTTCTTTTACGGCAGGGCGGAGAAACGTTGTGTACGTACCACGTTGCCCTTTTCAGCCCAACGCCACTGCCGGTGGAGCAGCTTACATCAAGCGAGGCTGTGCTACAGGTCCAGGGCGGCCATTTTATTGACAGATCTGAGCCGGCCAGGCGTGGTGCATCTAATCGATAGAGAGACTCACCCCAGTCGCATGTTTGTTCGTTTTGAACCAGCGAGGCTTGGGCGTGGTCCTCCGAATCAACGTGCACAATTCGTATCATTTACAGGAGTACAAACACAGACACAATGTACAGACAAGAACCCAAGCCGGCTTGAGACTGGGAGACAACCCCGGGAGACAGAGTATCATACAACGCAAGATCAGAGTTGGGCAGCCAAGAACGCCCCGATCACTAGCATGAGCCCGGGAACACCGGGCACCGTCACGCCAAGAAGTGCAGCAGACTCGTCGGCGGCTTCATTGAGGGCGCGCGAGTCAATGACGTTGGTAATGGCCTGCGTTGGCACCGGCGCTGGATCTGGCGAAGGAGAAACAGCCGACTCTGGTACTTCCGTGTCGGCGCTGACAGGGGTTTCGACAGCGGAGGGCTCGGACGCAGCTGAAAACGAGGAGGAAGTTGCTGAGAACGTGTGAACTTGACTGGCACTCGTGTCGTTTGTCGGAGCCCCGTCGCCCACGGCAGCGGCGTGGTTGTCCGCATACGACCATGAGCCGTATATTATCCCTGTCAGATGCTGTAGCAATGGCAAATGAACGGCAGAACTCGGACGCACCTTCTGACAGTGCCGCAAAGTACTTGAACAGTCCTTGCGTCAGATCCAGCTGGCCTTCTTTGTAGCAGCTAGCACACTGCCGGCAAGTCAGGACCGGAGCGAGACAGCGCGGTGACAAGCCGCACCTCGTCCACACACGTCGCATACGCCGTCTTCCCGTTGTACTCCAGCTTGAGCCGCCGCCCGCAGCACGCCGCGTTGCCCGCCTGGCTCCGGAACAGGTGGAAGTCCATCGCGACGACGTAGTCCGTCGACCGGTGGTCCTTGCCCGTGCACGCGTCCGCCCCGGTGCCCGTCCCGTACCACGTCATTCGCGCGCCATTGAACGCCGTCGCCGCCGTCGCGCGTTTCTCCGTGCCGTTCCCGTTCGCGGCAGCGGTCTCTGCGGTGCGCCGCAGAGCCACCGCGTGCCCGTGGTGCCGATGGCGAGTGTCGAGCGAGCTTGCAAGGACCGCGACGGGGAGCAGGAAGATGATCAGGGAGGAAGAGCGCATGGCAATTGAGGGTCTGGTCTGGTCTAGTCTGGTCGGTCGAGATGGGTTTCTCTTGAGTGGAGGAGGAGGAACGCGGATGCTTGAGAAGGAGCTCGCAATTGACCTGGAGAAACCATTCGCTGAAGAACCAGCGTGTTTATATGTATGAAGCCTATAGCTGGGTCCAGCCCAAAAACCAAAGCCAAGTAGGCAACAGCAGCAAGTCCGAGATGAGAAGAAAGCAAACCACACACTCGGGGCAAACAGAAGTAGCAACGACCAACGCGGTAGTATTAGGCTAAGCTTACCCCGCACAGATCGCGGGTAGCCAATCGGGTAATTGATGTGCACGAATCCGGATAGCCCGCGTTGATTGGACCCACAGCAACCCCGTAGCACCGATGAGGAGGTGATACATGTCAGCAGTAGCGGACACTGTGTAGCCCCGCTCCTGAACGTAAGGAGGCAGCTCGAGGCCCGGCGATTCAATTTGGTAATCGTATTCAAGCTAAGGTTGGTTACTCGATATTCGTCTACGAAGGCACAACGGCGGGTTCTGACGGAGCAGCAGCTGTGCCAGACGCCGTGCTTTCCAAGGGCTTCATCGCTGGGAACAGCAAGACCTCTTTGATGTCTAGAGAGCCATCAGTAACAACAGAGCATGACAAACAGGCCCACGCACTGTTCGAGTCGGTGAGGAACATAACCAGTCGGTCGATGCCGATGCCCCAGCCTCCGGTCGGCGGGAGGGCGTGTTCCAGTCTGGAACGCCGAGTCAGAAACCGAATGGGGTTGCCCAAACAAGCAGCACTCACGCGTCGATGAATGTCTCGTCGATGCCCTGAGCCTCATCATCGCCCTGGTCCTTCTGACGGACTTGTTCCTCGAACCGAAGCCGTTGCTCGAACGGATCATTCAGCTCCGTATAGGCATTACAGAACTCCTTTCCACACATGAAGCCCTCGAATCGTTCGCAAAGACCAGGCCGCGATCGGTGGTACTTGGCCAGCGGCGACATCACTTGCGGATGTCCGACAATGAAGGACGGAGAGATGCACAAAGGCTCGATGAACTCGCCCACCAGCTTGTCCAACAACCGAGCGTTCGTCCGCGGCTCGCTGCAGTCTACGTTGTGCTGCAGCGGAGTTAGTCCAGCCTACACACAGCACGGGCAGAACACACCTTGACGCAGAGTTCTCTCAAGAACACATTGGCTGCATCGGTGTGGAGAGTCTCTCCAGGAGGAAACTTGACGCTCAGCTTCTCCTCCAGGGTTTCAATCATGTCGAACCGCTTCCATGGTCGCTGGAAATCGAGTACCATCTCTCTGGCACCCTCCTGACCCTTGTTTCCGTCCGGATGGAATGTCACCTTGGTCCCGCCGAACAGATATCTCACCAGACCCTCAATCATCGCCTCGGTCATCTCCATGAGATCCTCCATGTCCGCATATGCCATATAGAACTCGCAGATGGTGAATTCGGGGTTATGAGTCAGATCGATGCCTTCGTTTCGGAACACCCGTCCAATCTCGTACACCCTGTCTAGTCCGCCGACAACCAGCTGCTTCAGGTACAGCTCTGGCGCAATCCGGAGAAAGAGGTCCAGGTCCAGGTCGTTATGGTGCGTGACAAACGGCTTGGCAGTCGCACCACCCGCAAGAAGCGAAGTTATCGGTGTCTCGACTTCCATGAACCCGAGGGCATCGAGGAAACGGCGAATGTAGGTCAAGATCTTGCTCCGAGTCACAAATAGATTGCGGGTGTTGTCGTTCAGAATGAGGTCCAGATACCGCTTGCGATAGCGCGTCTCCTGGTCCTTCAAGCCAAAGTGGGTCGACGGAAGTTGGTGCAGATTCGGTGCGAGAAGCACGATTTCTTGGGGCGAGATACTGAGCTCTCCCATCTTCGTTCGGGACGGTGTCCCGATCACTCCGACGATGTCACCACGCTTAAACAGCTCGTGGGTTGCAACGAACGACTCCGGATCCTTTGCGTCCTGCTGACTCGCCATAATTTGCACCTTCTTTCCCTCGCCGTGAAGATCGTAGAAGACCAGCTTCGAACCGCTGGGACGGATGTTGTGTATCCTACCGGCGAGAGCTTCCACTTTCGTGGTGAGCTTTTGACCAGGTGCGATCACGCCCTCCGGTCCGTAGTGCTCGATATACCGACTGATTGACTGGGTAACATGGAACTTGTGAGGATAAGGATTTGGGTTCTGAGATTGCTTGAGGGCGAGAATTCGACGAGATCGTAGCTCGAAGTATTGCTGTAGCTCGTATGATTAACAAGTGCATCGTGGTTGAGACTGGTGCGCTCACGTTGGGGCTCAGTTCCTCCTCAGCAGGCTTCGCGGACTTGACCACCGTCGCTTCCGGCTGCTGCGCCGCTTTGGAAGCCTTGCTAGCTTCCTTAGCACGCGCCTTTTCGCGGCGCTTGAGCTCCCTGTGCACATCCAGATAATCAGATGGAGCTGGAGCGCAAAAGCTACTGCCGACGTACGTCTTGGAGATCAGCTCTCCCGTAACAGGGTCTTTGTGTGTGCCAGCCTCCGTCGACATGTTCCTCGGAGGTAAAAACGCGGGCGGATTAGAACCTCTCGGTCTTGGATGGCTGATAGATCTGGGAAGAAGGCGAACAAAGCGACACATACATAGATTAAGAACTGATGACTGAATCGAGTCAAAATTTTCTGTCACGGGTCACGCTGACCGTGACAAGTGGCGAAGTGGTCGGTGCTCAAGCCCCGGACCGCGCATTCCTATAAACAGCCTGATCCCGGAAACTCAAAGTTTTTGACTGTGTGGAATCCAGAGAGTCGTAACATCCGAGCCAAATAAATGCTTTGGAAGAGGTCTACAAATGAAATAATCGTGTGGTGATGAGTACTAGTGATGGATCGATGCCATATGGGTCCTCATTCAGCGAGAAACTAGGCAAAACTACGAGTCGAAGCAGGTTCCATCGCGGCAGGGAGCAATTGACAAGGCCACTTGGCGACCAAAGTTCCTCGTGACTCGGGGGACAAGGGGGTGCTGCATTTGATTGAATCAAACGCGTGACGTAGGGCGACGTCACAGCATCGTGGACCATTTAAGATCAACCTGTGCTACGCCCGCAGCCCACACACCACTCTACCTCCTCCGTTCACGTTTACGACCCTTCTACGTTTCCCAATCGACATACATACAACATGGTCAAAGGTTCAGACGTTCTTCTCATCCTCGTGCGTCTCGTTCTCTTCAAAGACGGCTATTCTTGGAATTGACCGCCTCACAGATTGCCATCCTCTTCCCTCCCGCCGCCGCTGCTTTCCTCACAGGTTGCAGCTGCGACCTCCTTATCAACATCCTCCTCACGATGCAAGTCTCATGTGCCTGTCGCACACCTGCCCTCCGCTAATGACGCACACCTGCAGCTTCGGATACATTCCTGGACACATTCATGCCTTCTGGCTCATCTACAAGAAGATGAAGGCCGAGGAACGTTACGGACATGGTGGCTTCCGCTGTACGTGTGCCACTGATCGCTTCCGCTTGCTCTTACTCAACCTCTTGTTCCCCGCAGACGTAGGGAACGGTACCTACGAGCCCATCAATGCTGGCGGAGTGCAGCAGCCGTACTATGGCGCAACATCCAATTAAAGAGTAGATGCGTGAGAAGCTAGTCATACCAATCTTTCTGGACATTTCTGTGCACCTATCTGAAGAGAATATACTTTGAAATTCTATCTTGTTTTGAGTAACAAGTAGTATGACTCATGAAGTGAGGCATTGGTGATCATGCTCTATGATGCTATTGTGGGGCTACGATCGGTTAATCATTGATTTGTTCTCGACCATGACGTTTATCGCTGAACTCGAGCGACGTCCTGGACACACCCACGTCCTGCTCATCACCACTGGCAGCGTTGCGTCTGTCAAGGCACCGCTGATAGTGGAGGAATTGCTTCGCGTTCGTCGTACATCTTAGCTTAGTCAACGCACCCACCGGACGAGCAAGACAGTTCGGGAATGTCCAGATAGAGGTGGTCGCAACGAAGCCCTCCCTCGTTTTTTTCGACGCGGATTCAATCAGGAAGCAGGGGGTGCGCGTCTGGGTGGACGCTGACGAGTGGCCTGTAAGTCGTTTCCGAATCCGAAAGACAGGCAGCACTGAAGCTGGATCAGTCGAACTACAAAATCGGCGACCCCATCCTGCATATCGAGCTGCGGCGTTGGGCAGATATCGTCCTTGTTGCCCCCTGCTCTGCCAACACGCTCTCCAAGATCGCGCACGGCACGTGCGATAATCTAGCAGTGCGATTGCTTTACCGACTCCCTCCGTCCCCACTAAGTAGCTTAATCACGGTCTAGACGTCATTGATGCGTGCTCTGGCTCCCACGACGCCGACATACATCTTCCCTGCTATGAACACGCTCATGTACGAACACCCGCTGACTTCCGAGCATGTGCGCATCGTGCGGGATGTCGTCAAGTATCAAGTGGTGGGTCCGATCGGCAAGAAGCTGGCGTGCGGGGACATCGGTGAGTGAGATCAGCTGTTCCTGACGGCTTGTCTCAATGACGACTACAGGGATGGGCGCGATGACCGAATGGCGGGACATCGTGCAAATTGTCGTCGACAGGTTTGGGCTCGTGCTGCGGCCGGCGGCGCTGGCAGAGTGAATGAGAACCATTATTAGGTGGTGTGTAATACATTGCGGGGTAGATGATAGGTACTACTAATTAACGTCGCCGGAAGCGAGGTAGTGAGTGGTGTGGTGATACAACAATGGTCTAAATATGATGGATGATGCTTCACAGGATGCTGGTTGCGGCCAGGGCCTTCAGTAAGATGACCTCCCGCACTGTGAAACATGAGCGCGCTGATCTCGATGCCATGCCTGGCACTTACCGTCGTTTATGACGATCGAAGTAGCCTCTGTGTCCTGTGCGGAGCATCAAAACAACACTGTCACGATCGATGGGCGAGACGAACCACTGCACATGTTACATGTCGATGGATCTTGCGCTTCCGGGGGGAGTACGTTTGATTGATAGTGGCAAAGGCGTCCGACAGATCTGGAATGCAGTCAGCTTCGGAATGCCGCCAGACACATTAACCAACATTTGATGATCTCCTTGGGCTCATTGGGCTTGTCCCTGTACGACGTGACATGGTCCGAGAACCGGATGCCCGACTCGATTTTGCGGGTCAAGATGTCGACTTTGTTCAAGAACTAATCGCCATCATCGGTCGGCAGTTCCGGGACGGCAACCGCGAAGCATGACGGACCAAGATGAATTCAACGGCGACAAGCAGCTTGTTGCTGCAGATCGTCCTCCACAACTTGAGCGAGTCGGCCTGACCAGGAAGCGATCAGATCAAAGCCGGATGTGCGTTTCGCGAAGCAGCTGACCAGGCGGTTGACTGACCGGTTTTCGGCAAGTGTGTCGTTGAAGGCTACGGGAGATCAATGAAAAGGCCGCAGAGACAGTCATGCAGGCACCGTACCTGACATCGGAGCCATGAAAATGATTGCATGCACTGACATTTAGCCTCAGCAGTCGTCGGTATCCCCATAGGAAAGCGCATACCATCGTCGAAGAATTGCGCCCATGCGGCTGCCGATGATGATTCAGAGCGGTCTGTGTGAGAAATAATGCAACCAACGAACCTCGTTGACTGGTCGAACCACCGACATCGTATACGGTCCATGATTTGACATTCTCCCCGCCTGGAAAGTTGGAGGTAACGTCTCAATAAAACTCTGTGCTCACGCACCATTCTCCATATAAATAATATGCTCTTCCGGGCCCACAGTGTGCACTCGCGCGCGCAAAATGTCGTTGGGAGTTGGGATGTAATCTTCGCGACATATTCGTTCGACCTGGTCCAGGAAGCTATCGAGAATTAGGAGAGCAGCGCGCCAACAAGGCTGCTGGACTCACAATCCCGACTGTTCCTGCAGCGTGATCTCGCGGTCCCTCAATCCCTGCTGGATCTCTGCGGCCGTCCACACTTCGACGATGTCCTTGGCGCAGGCACTCAGAATCCGCCGAATCTGGACAGCTTCGGCCTTCTCGGTGCGGTCAGCATCCGCCATCGAGCCACGGCGGAACCGGAGAAACGCGGTCCAATTGCTACCCGAGCGAAGCATAATTTCGGAAGCTTTCGCAGGATTGTACCGCTCGTTGTCTGCGTGGTTACTGCTGGTGTCCTCGGGTGGCCGGGCCCCGGCGATGCGGTTCGAGAGCGTCTCCTCCACCTGCCGGAGCGGCGCGAGGCTGATGGACAGCCGGCGGAGTTGCCCACTGAAGGCAGTCGCGTCGGATGCGGCAGGCGCGTTGCCACCCATGTACGTGCTCGGATGTCGGATGGCTAACAGGCCGAGAATGAAGTTGACTGAGCGGACGAGGTTCAGCTGGATGACGGGGCGCCAGGCCTCGGCCTGCCAGACAGACGGATTCAGCAGCTTTCGATGGGAGACAAAGGGTGTGTCTCACCTCCGCTTGGAAGGCCTTGGGAGCAAAGTGCAGCTGGATGTTCTTCAGAATCGTAGATTTGCCCGACTCGGCCTGTCCTGAGGCAAGCGACGTGTTTCAGAAGAGGCGGCGCGTGCGGCGGATAATGAAAAAGCTGACCTAAGAGCAGGACGGTGGCATTAGCCGGCCGACGCCGCTGTTCTCGCTCCACCTCCAGCTGCTCGTCGATGGCATTGCTCACCTGGAGCGCGCCGAATAAGATCAGAGATACCGAGAGGGCGACGCGGCCTCTGCCGCGACAATGCGACGCACCCGTTTAGCCTCCTTCTCAGCTTCCAAGCGTTCCAGACGATCCTGCTCGGACGACGGGGGCGGGGGTGTGGGTGGCCAGACGTTGCGTCGCGAGGGCGGCATATGGGGTGGGCCGGAAACAGACGCGGTGCGGCTCGCAAGTGGCTATTAGAAGGGTATATAAATGGCGATCATGGATATGAGCTTGCGACGCCACAGGCAGGCCCAACCAAGATTTGTGATTTCGAAAATCCCCGGAATCGAAGCGCTTCCGATCATGCTGCGATAACAAATTGCACAAACGCATCCGGCCCCCGATGCGAAGCGTGCCCATCTTGAATCACTCGAAGCGGCTGCGTTTCCGCCACTCGTGGGCCTGAAACTCTCATTAGGGGCCATCCATTGACAAGGCCTCTGGAGGTCTCTGCATGCGTCCAGGCCCGGGGCCTGTCCGTCCACGGCCTGCTAGCAGGGGGGAGATAATTTGTCCGTAAGAGGCTGGGTGATCTCGCTTGATCCGGTGTGGGAGGGCGCATAGCAACCGTAAGTACCAGCGCGGCAGCAACTGGATATGTGAGCTGATTCATACCCGCCAAATGCACACAATCATCCACCTCGCAGCGTAATGTACGACTACAGGCGTCTGGCAGCGGGCTGGCAAGTGCGGGCGTGAGAGTGTGTCCAGCATGCGAGGCTGACAGTTGAAGCATGGGTCGCCAGGGGCGGTGCACCTCCCGATTCTCGCGGGCAGCACTCGAAACGCGACCATCATTGCGGTTTGATGGGTCGACGACATCCGAACTCGCCGAGAGATCACATCAGCTGTTGATCCTGCTAGCACACTCGAGTACTTAGCACCAGGACAAGGAATCAGCGAACGGGGAGGAATCATTTCAGGTCAAGCGGAAACTGCCGTACAAACGTGTGTGAGATACAGTACGTCGCACTTGATCTCTGCAGTCCCTGTAAGTACCCCTTGTGCGATTATCAAAAGCTCGGGAGCATTTCAGACACGTCCGTTTTGAGACCGGACGGTTCAAGATTTCCGGGTATGAAGTATAGCCGAAGACCGTCTCGGCAGGGGATCGATCATCCTAACATGGGACACGCCTGTGGACTGCTGCTCGTCCACATTTCTAGTCTTCTCGCTCTTGTGTCGTCGTCGTGGTCTGGGCTTATCAGAAGTTCGCGACGCCGCCTTTCCAGGGATAAAGAATCGTCAATCCTATCAAGCCACACTCCATGAAAACAAGCATAGCATCTGTCACTGATTAAGCCGAGGTTCCAAGTAAGTACTCCTGCTAAGTACTGATCTCTCTGATCATGAGCGCCTCACAACTTTTTCCACACGACGAGGTGCTCAATTCCCACATGGGTGGGGTTGGAGATCGTGGGAACTCTATCCACCACCTTTTCCCAGCCGTCCCCGAGCGGCTCAAGGTAGTGCTCCGGACGAACGAAGAAGGGAGGGCCTACGTCCGACTGGGGCTCGATGGGATAGATGAGCGTTATCAGATAGCCGCCTGGTTTGACGAGTGAGTTCATCTGCGCGCCCCATTCGTTGCGTCTCGAGGGAGGGATGGCAACAAAAAATCTGTCGACATGCAATCAATCTCTCTGACGAAAAACAAGTCAGCGAGCTCCTCACGTATAGTCGTAGACGACGTCGAATTTCTCATCTGACGTGAATTTAAAAAAGTCGCACACTTCTATGCGGACTTTAGACCCGGCGGGAATATTGCTGCAGACAGATCCTGAGGATAGGCGCAGCGCGGGGACTCAAGTCCGTATCGCGGCGCACCTGGACGCGATCTGCGCTGCCGTCTTCGAGATGTCCAGCGCCAACGTCTCGAATCCGCGGGAGGCGAGGTACACCGCATCGAAGCCCGAGCCGCATCCCGGCACCAGCGCGCGCCCGGTCGTCGGCAGCTGCAGCTCGCCGGACTCGACGACCTCGCGCAGCGGAGGCTGGATCGCCCCGGTGTCCCACGGCGTGGTCCCTTGCACCCAGGCTTGGTCCCAGCTGCTTGGGTCCTCTGTCACTATCTCCCGGAGTCGGACGCGCGCGGCTGCCATGGTGGGTTACTAGCCGTGAATCCGGGGCAATCACCCTCTTCTTATACACACGAGGCTTCTCGAGTGATCTCGGCCCCGAGTGTCCGATGACCAACAGCGATCGTGCGTGCGTGTTTCCTTTTACGGAAGCGAAGAGTTCAAGTGTTTAGACTCAATAGGGGTGAGATCAACTCGAGCATTCAACGGAGTCGACATCTACCGAAATCAGTGTCCTGAAACGTGGTTTGGGAAAGAGGAGCCAGAGCGGGAAGACGATTATCACACAGTCGGCAATCGCGTATCTGCTACCGCGCTCTATAAAAGAGGGACTCAGATAAGGGAGAAAGAAAGCGGCCTCCCCCTACATATGATGACTACTCCCGGAGAATCCGCCACTTCGAGCCCCCTCGTGAAAGAGCTGGGATTGCTGAAGCATCCCGAAGGGGGTGAGTGCAGCGCGTCGCTGGCGACTGCTGTCTAGTACCTTCCATAACACAGTCCACAAGGATATTATCTGGAAACAGACCGACAGACGGATGAAGTGCCCAGCCCATTCGTCGGGGGAGTCCGTAGATCACTAGCCACTTCAATCTACTACCTGCTCGACTACGATCGCCCAAGCGGTGTGATCCACATGAACAAATCGGTGGTGAGCTCTTCGCGGGTCGTGATATTCGGGACTGACAGGCATGACAATCCATGGACAGACATACCACGTTCTGCACCAAGGCCAGGCCGAATATACGTTAATCACGCCAGGAAAAGGCGACATCCCTCCCGTCATCGAGCGGAAGGTGATCGGCACGGGACCGAACGAGACCCGACAGCTGCTCGTAGGTACTGGTGTCTGGAAGATGTCAAAACTTCTCGACGAGGATGTCGCAAGCGCGGAGACCTTAGAGGAGAAGAGACAGCTGGGGTGCTTGATCACGGAGGTCGTCGTGCCTGGCTTTGCTTGGGAGGATCACCGCTTCCTGACGAGAGCGGAGCTGGAAGAGCTGGTCAAAGATCTTCCTGATTCAGATTCTCAGGGTTTAGCAACGTATTTGAGGGCGGAGACTATATCCCTCGGCCCAGTCAATTGAATTTTGTCCTGTGTCTATCTGTGTCGTTAGCGTGAGCTGAGTTCTATGATGTTTTAGGCACGCTTCCATCACGTGACCGTGTGGTGACCACGTGCCATTGAACCTAGACTGAACTGCCAAAACCATCTCTTGCCACTACCGCCACATTATCTTACAGCCAACCCCACTGTCTTTACTCCTTCGTCTCTTGATCCCATTGATTTCAAGATGATTCATCGCAAGCGCCGTGGGCGGCGTCCTATTCTCGCTCGGACTACCCGAATCAAATCTCTCCCCTTTAGTTTCAGTTTCCCTAATCTCGAGTCTATCCTGAACGCAATGTCAAAAGCCAGCTCGGAACTATCGTCCCGAAACTCCCCCTCAAGCATTGGATGGGCCACTCCGCTCGGAGGCGACATCTACGCTCCCGGGACAACAATCCCTGTCAAATGGCTTGCATCTGCCGCGCTCTCGTCCCCGACACTCAAGCTCTGTGCCAGCCCTGCTTCTGTTGTCTCCGCTCCCGCCGGTTTCTCTTCGAGGGATGCTTTTGGATCAGGACTAGAGGACGAATCAGTCTCGACATGTGGACCAGGCATGAAACCGCCGATCACGGAGAGTGCGGGGGTCTACCAAGCTCCATTGTAAGTGTGTTATCTATCTTGTCTCTCCCGGATCGATACAACCAACAAGATAGTACGATTTCGACCGCACCTACCTCGGGCCAATACTATATCTTGCTTGAGGAAAGCGCAGCTGGCGGTGCGAAGATGCGGTCGCCAGTGTTCACCATCGATCGTAAGCGGTCTTTGCCAAAGTGCTCGACGACGTTCCTTCACCGGTTTCCTAGCCACCGGCGCAGCCTCATCCGGCCCCAACTCTATCCAACAATCCTTACCAGCCGCAGCCGCCAACGTTCCTCAAGCACCAGTCGCAGCTCAAGCACCTTTCGCTCCAAGCCAAGCCGTTCCCGTCATCTCGTCTTCTCTGTCTCCGCCTCAACAAAGTCAATACTTCTTCTCAGAGACACAACCGGCGCCAAACTTGGCTGCTACAACGCAAGCGATCAAATCTTCGGTGTTTCCACTGTCAACCGCCAATGTGCTTACGACCAAGGCCGCGCCTCCACCTGCCGCTGCCTTCGTCGTGCCACTGTCGACTGTCGGTGCCGTGATCCTGTTGGCAGGGCTGTTCTTCTTTAGGCGGCGGGCCAGCTCGGAGAAGCCTCCCCAAGCGACTCGTGCGCAGCCCGGCGACGACGACGACGTCAAGCCGCACATGTGCCAGCCGATGACACAACTTCCACGCCGCCCGCACGGCGAGGAGCAGCGAGCCACCTGGATGCCGAAACAGCGGAGGAACAGCCGCAACGTGTATCCGCAGAACTCTCCGACGCCTAAATCGAGGCATACCGGCTACGGGTCTACGCGTCCCGCGGCTCGACCAAGCGAGCCTCCGGGGGTGACTGAAATGGTTTTAGCGGAGTACATGCTCCCGTCTGGCGCGGCATCGGTGTCGAGCTCGACATCGCTGCCGAGATGTTTGTTGCCGGCTCCTGAGAAGCTGCATGTCCGGGACGCGCGGTCCGGCGGCCATCCGATGGGCACGCCGGAGTACGAGGAGCGGAAGCAACTGGGTGGCACTAGCGTATATGCGCAAATCGAGCAGAACCTGGACAAGTATCGACGGTAACAGATAAGTACGTATATGATAGGCAATGTAAGGCAAGAAGCAGCGAGCGAGTAGTACAATAACCTACAACAAATGGGATGACGCAAATGCAACGGGCCCGGGCTACACTCTCCGTTGCGGGTTCCAGGCAGATGCCTCGTGGTTGTCCAGCACAAACACGACTTCGTCCTCTTCGTCGTCCTCTTCTGCGTCGTCCTCCTCGGCTGGGACGGACTCGCTGCTGCTGCTCTTGCTCTGCATGACCAGATCGTACACACTGCGCTCCGCCTCGACCTCCACGACGCTCTGCTTCGCCGTGGGCAGCACATACCGCTTGCCGCATTCTCGGCTCCTCACCCAGTTCCCCCGGATCTCAGCATATTCGGACAGGCTCAGCACATCGCGGACGAGGGCGAGATCCTTCGTCTTCGCTTGCACTCGCTTGAACGATCCGAGCACCTCGACGGGGATCCAGCCCTCGGAATCCATCTGCAATATCGCGATCAGTCGCGCACAAAGAAAAGAAGACAACAACTACAACGCACCTGCTGCCGCAGATAAAAGTCTGTTGCCATGTTATCTGGACTCAGATAGAACTCGAGCTGGCCGAGGATCTCTTCTCGCAGCCGGTCAATCGGGAACGTGATACGAGTCCGCAGCTCCGGTGCCGGCAATACACTGAACGGCGGCGCCGGTCGCTGCTGGAATCCTCCTCGCTGAAATCCTCCCCCTCTGCCGTAGCCACGGAATCCGGCCCGCGCTCGTCTTCCACCATGGTAGCTTCCACGCCCCCCAGCAGAAAAGTCCAGCGGACCATCAGGGTGCTGGACCATGTGATCCGGCCGTGGCATGAATGGTTCTCGCGTATATCCAGGCCCAGAATTGTACCCGAAGTCCCTAACCTGCCAATCGGGTTCAGGCTGAGGCATTGCATATCCAGCTCCCATCACCGCAGGAGGGATTCCACCAGGTGCCATGCCATGTGGAGGCATCGCGTACGGAGCGCTATATTGGCCATCGTATGGGGCGTATCCCCCGTAGATCATCCAAGGTGGTGGTGGTGGCTGATAGTATTGTCCACTCGGAATCTCCGCGTGCGTTTCTTCTCTGGTTGTACCAAACTCCCATCGCCCATGCTCCGTAGCAGTCACATCAATGATCTGCTTTTGCGGCTGCTCTTCCAGTCTTCTTGCCTGCGTCCTGGGCGATACGCCAATTGCAAACACAGGCGAATGTGCGTTCACGCTTGCAGATGTCGGGAACTGCGAGGCACTGGCGGGCATTTCGGTGGTTGAATCATCGACCGTCCCGAACACCACCGAAGGCTCTTGAGTGGGCAACGAACCCAAGCTGGTGGAGACGGAGATCGGAGCTGATTCTGTTGGCGGAGGGGGCCGCTCCCGCTCCCGTTCCGGCTTTGTGTCGAGGGGCGGAGGCATTGGCGGCTGCGGTGGCGGATACCAGGGTGGGGCCCAGTAGCCCCCGTACGGTACTGGAGGCTCATAACCGTATGGTGCGCCATAGTAAGCCGGCGCGTTGTACATTGGCTGAGGTGGTTGATACCCGCCCCAAGATGGCTGTGCTAGTGCCATCTGCCCCGTGCCATACTGTAGATGTGGCGGCATGACCACTGGAATCGGACTGGGTGCTCGGTCAACTGACCCGCGACTGGCCGAAGCCACACTTTCTGCTCGCGAGGTTGTTCCGCTGTGGCTTTGACTATAATTCCTGGACATCCTTTCCCGGTTGAAGCGACCGGAACCGTGACCATGACGGTGGCCACCATAATCGTTGCTGTAGCCATTCGTTGCTCTCTGGTGCTCCTCGGCAGCAGCTCTCAACTCTTCAGGTGGTATCGGCACCCACTTTCGACCCTTCTTCGAGCTCGATCGCGACGACGATGTTGATATTGCTGGGGGTGCTGTGACAGGCAGTTGAGAGGTAGATGCCTGGGGCTCCTCCCCCGGGAGCGATGATCGCGAGAACGGAGGCAACGGGGAGAGCAAAGCCCCGTTAACCTGTATGGACGTCGTCTCCGTAGCAGGCGAGGCTTCTCCCGGTGTGGGAAATACCGATAATTGCGATGTCCCTATTTTTCGGTCGCTCCCGCGAGCCGAAGCCGAAGATGAAGCAGGTGGGGAGTTGCTCGCAACAACAGTCGGATTTAGATTGGGATTAGGGGATGAGGAAGCCGAAGCCGAGGACGAGGTGGTTGCGCCAGACCTTGGGTGTGGCACTGGCATTGGCTGAATCGCTTGGGTGTGAGATGAAGATTGGTGACGGGAGGATTGCTTGGGAGACGGTGCTTTTGGCGGGAACACGGCAACAGAAGCTGGAGGAGACACAGATGGAGAGGAAGGTCCTATAGTGAGGAGATGAGTAAGTTCATCATCTAGGCAAGAGCTGAGGCGCAAGGAGCGGCGCAGGTGGCGTAAGACGTGTACTACGCACCTGTTGATCCCCGTCCCGCTTCTTGCCTCTGAGCTGCCAGTCCATGTCCGTTCACCGTGACAGATTCCGCAGTTGGCCGCGTCATCTCAGCGCCCATCCGCTTAGGTGACAGTCCACCATTTCCCACACTGGCGGTCGAGTTCGAATGCCTCACGCGCACGACGAACGCATCTTCATCATCCCTCGGGGGTCCTAGCGGAGGCAGAGGAACCGGTACGGCGGATCCCACTGGGGACGCAGACCGATGTGGCGACGGATTTGGAGAGGACGAAGTAGACGCACGCTGAGCGGCGCGCACAGCCCAGACATTGGGCGAGAGCGGTGCAGGGCTCTCTTTTGACATGAACGTCGGTGAAGACGGTGATGACATGGCTGCGTTAGAGGAAGACACGGAAGGCGGCGATGTGGGATGAGGCGAGAGCGGCGCAGTCGTTGTTCTCGAGTTGGGTGTTGTGTGTGCGAGCGTGTCATCTGCCAATGCGCTCGTAGAAACAGAAATAGATGGAGTTGACTGCGCTTGAGATGGAGACACCGGCGTCCCCAAATGCGAAGCGGCTGCCGGTGCGGATGGACCTGCAGCATCGGTAATCAATCCCCCGCCTCTACTCAAAACAGGGCCGACGGATCCATTTGTTGTCCTCCCACGGGGCACTGGCTGGCGACTGGGAGACGGAGCAGACGTAGGTTTTCCTGCGCCTCGAGCGCGTTCGGCGTAGGAAATGGGGATAGGCATAGAGGAAGCTGCTAAGCAGCGCGTGTTTGTTTGGTTCCTGGACTCGTCACCGGAACCCCATTAGCATCTCGGCCATTACCACGTCTTAGGCATCAATCGATACGATAAGTTTATTGGAGTTGAGTATTCAGGTGTTATCCCAGCGTGGTTTGATGCCCAAAAAGCCTAAAGAAAGGTAAGCGTCGGTTGTCGTTCAAGGGTTCAATCCATCACACTTGAAATTTCAACTCTCGACATCGCGTCTTGTTCTCATGTATGAACAGTATTATCTATTGTCTCTCTTCGATATCGTTGATAATTCTCTGCATCTACATAGATTCACATTATAATGACAGTCCGCAAATTGCTGAAATGGCTAAAAACAGTAGCAGGATGGATGCCTTGCTGGGCACAGCGAGGGCAATCGCCGCAGCTAGAGGCACTAGGTCAATATGCATGGATTTTGTTGACCGCTGGGACTTACAAGTAACAGTCGTCGAGGTCGATCCCGACGCTGATCCCGACGCTGACCCGGTCGGTAGGCCAGGGTTCCCTGGGATGACAGCAGTTCCACTCGTTGAAGACGACACAGTGGGGTCCGAAGAAAGCTGGGCAAACCCAACAGACGCTGGGTTTTGTCGGAATACGGTGTACACATTTTTCTGTCGACATTCGTCGTCAAACAGAATTGAATTGCTGATGAGAGTAGGAGCTGACCAGGAAAGTGTCCCCGACCACCCAGCCGGGACTGCCTGAACTGGCTTGTGAGCCAAGCGTCAAGTCGAATATGGCTCCGACGCAAAAAGAGCTGCCTTGCTGAATGGGCCCCAGATTCATATCCTCAGGGCTAATAGGCCAGGCTTTGCCTCCGAACGAGAGGGTCACGCTCACGTTGGTAGAGCAGGCTGTTGGATCTCAGTACGTCCACAGGCCAAGACACAGACGACAAGTGCAACGCACGGAACTGGTAGTATCCTTGGCCTATCGAGGCGGAGAGAGGACTTGCCCCATCAACGGCAGCCCAGATCGCTGAAACGGTGCTGCTGGGAGCACCGATCAGGCTCGTTCCAGTGTCAATAGCAGCTGTGACCGAATCTCCCTGTGGTAGAGTGACCGCGTTCCCTTGAACCGTGACGGCTGACATGTCCAAGAGCCAGTATGTCTGTGCCGCACCTGCGGGAGACTGGACGAGATTCTGGAAGTCGATGTCCCCTGTGTACAACGATGCGTTGGTGCCCCCGAGCGTGAATGTCCCCCCTGGCGCATCCCCCGAGCTTAAGGAGCGAAGCAAGTGGAATGACATTTCGGGTGACGACAGTTGATTAGCGTTGATCAGGGCTTGCCAGAAAGGGACAGCCTGCGTCTGCGCTAGGCTCTGGAAGGCCAGACCAATCAGGCCGGAAACTTGACCCTGGATGAGATTCTGCGTAAGCTGCTCTGCCAATACTAGTCGTAAAGCTTCAGATTCAGCTTCTTTCTACAAGAGATGTAGTACGCACAGAACCCCTGCGAGGAAACACTGAGGCTGCCCATGCTAACAGTATCTGTAGCTACAGTTCCGGCCACCTGCCCAGAGCCATAGACGATTTCCACTGATTGGCTGCTTGATTGCAGAAACGACGACGAAGATGAAGACGTGAAGGAGCTGCCCCCGCCACAGCTTAGACACTGTGAGTCCACGACCCAAAGGTCGGAACTTCCGGTGTCCAGTATAACCGAGAAGGTCTGTGGTCTATCCAACAACGTGATTATCAATTTAGCGACAAGGTAAGAAGAACATGTGCTTACGGCGTGCCAATGGAAACACTGCCAATGTAACTCGCGTCGGCTCCCTGGTCGCTGTGAGTGAACGACCCGACGCATCAGCCGCACCGCTTACCTGGTCTTCCATTGAGAAGTCGATCGTGCTACCCCGTCGAATCCTTGAAGACGTGGATGGAAGACCGGTAGCATAGCCATATCTTGACCGCGCAGACGACCCGGCAGCAAAGTGGTCGGTAAGAGTGCGGACTCGATCAGTCCTTCGATTGACAAGCGGGATGTGGATGGGTTCGCTGCAGACCAGGGGCAGCAAAAGCAGAATCACCGGAAGGCTCGCAGGCAAGGAAGGCGAGACCATCATTGTTTGAGCTGGAATGAGGGCGAAAGAGGTGTGTGTAGACGTCTTTATGTGGAGTTGAACTGCGCAGCACCCTGGGATCTTGATGCGCGAGTCCGCCGTAGACCGAATGTAATTTTAGCTTGATCGGTGATCCAGTCCCCCAAGGAAGCGATGTAAGTTCGCAATGCAGTGTAACGAGCTTGATAACCGTAGCGGCAAGAGCGGCAAAAGCCTTAGCAGAGACTGCGACATTCGGACTCCAAGCACCAGATGGGGCGCTCGCCGCTGCTCACAGAATAGTGTAATCCAGATGCGACCCAGCACCCCAAGAGAGCGATGACAGCATTGAAGACAAGGAGGTCGTAGACGGAGATTGGAGTAAGAGCAAAGGAAGAGGAAAGAGCATTTGCCAGGCGGATCAGTCTAGTAGTATGAGTTGGTTCCAGCTGAGATTATGAGTGAGGTTTTTATGTTTGTGTGATTGGCATCAAGTCACAAATAATCATCGTGCTCGCGAACTGCTGCTCTTTGCTAGGACCGGTCGTCCCTCTCGATTGAATCTTGCAGTCCGAGCCCTTGCTCTCTTTCCGCCTCGTCCAGGCCTAATCGACCCGACATTAACGGTGCCGCTCTGAGTCTCTCCGCATCGCTCCCCTTCCACCTGCCGCCACCTGTCATGCAAAGCTTGCGTTGCATCTCTGTCAGTTGGCGGGGGGTCATCTGACACGCAGCGAGGCGCCGCGCCCGCTCGCCAATCATCGAAACGACCGATGGAGCGTTCTAATAACAACCGCATATACTCGTCATGCATAATGGATCCATTCATTCCCCTCCTGATTTCCGGTCACATGGGGACTGTAAGATTGAGACCCGGCGTTTATAAAGCGGGGAAGACGGATCGACAGGTCGAACGGACCCAGTCCAAGTCCGACCACCATCTTCCTGCTCGTAGCTTGCATTCAAGGCTGCTGCAATGCTTCCGCCCGGGATTCTTGCCGTCGTCATCGCCGCGTGTCTAGGGCGTGGAGCGGTGTCTCAGTCGAGTAGTACCGGAAGCGCCCATTCGATCAGCTTCTCTGCATCCCAGAGTTTTCCAACGACAACCGTGTCCCAGGTCGCAGTCGCGACGCTGACTGCCACGCCATCCGGCTCGGCAGGGGCCCTTGTCCCATCTCAAGCTGCTCTTCCCCCCGTTCAAGCCTGGTGTCCTTCAGAGATCTTCTGCGCAGGCTCGGTTCGCACCTAAAACACGCTCGTGGCTTCCCTTCCTGATGGGTATGGTGCAGGTTCTCCAGACGCTCAACCTGGCGGGTATCTTCACGGACCCCAAAACCATCGTCGACAAAGTACGTCGCCCATGTGACCGCGTGAAAATGATCCAAACTTTCCGCAGCCGACTTCGAAAAACAGGAGCACTGTGCTTGCTGATTTTGCGGCGTTGAACAGCAGCGGCACCGCTCTCACGGAGGGCCAAGTCGTGAGCTTTGTGGACGCTGACTTTACCGGCGAAGGACAGGAACTCGAGGCTGTCGTCCTCCCTGGATTCACCACGACCCCAGCTTTCTTAAAGAACGTGACGGATCCGCTCCTCAAGGCATTCTCGCAGACGGTGAATGGCTTCTGGACGCAGCTGGTTAGAGGCACAAATGCCAGCACCCTATGCGACGGGGTGAGATGCGAAAGTTCGCTCATTCCTCTGAATCACACTTTCGTCGTTCCCGGTATGGCTTTCGTTCGACTTTGAAACCTCTGGCTGACACGGTGGATCAGGTGGCCGTTTCCGCGAGCAGTACTATTGGGACTCGTATTGGATTGTGGAGGGCCTCTTGGAGTCCGAGTTGTTCACCATCGTCAATGACACACTCCAAAACTTCATGGACGAGATTGAGCGGTTTGGTTTCATTCCCAACGGGGGGCGAATCTACTGTGAGTTACTCTGTCAGCTGAGAGCGGTCACTCGAGCTCTGCTGCAGATCTCGATCGGTCCCAACCACCGCTCTTCATCCAAATGCTCGCGCGTTACGTATCTGCATCGAACGACACGGGAATCCTGACCAGAGCCCTGCCCATCGCTGAGGTGCGTTTGCTCTTTAATATAGCTTTTGTCGTCTGAATCTCGTAGCGAGAAATCGCTTGGTGGGCGGCCCATCGAACGGTTACCGTGAAGAGCCCGCTCACAAACAAAACACACTCGATGATCCAATACAAAGTGAACAACACTGCCCCACGACCGGAGTCCTACCTGACTGGTAGCGTCTTTGCCCTCGGTCTTCACCGCTCGCGACTAAACGCGAGCCAGATTACTTGACCGTCCACGATCCATCACAACCTTCGCTGAACGCAACGCAGTCTGCTGATCTCTATGCTGAGCTGGCCAGCGGTGCCGAAACAGGCTGGGACTATTCGTCACGATGGATCACGGACACGAGCTCCAATCTGCGCAATTTGAATGTCAGGAAGACGTTACCAGTCGATCTGAACAGCATCATGTGTCAGTCCTTTGTCACTTCGTCGCTATCCTAGGCTAATTCGATCCAGACAAGAACCGTGTGATAATGGCGGACTTGTATAACAAGACCAGAAACGCAACCGCAGCAACGTCTCATCGGGCTGCTGCGGCTACCATCAAAGACGGTATCTTGGACCTGTTTTGGAATGCGACTAAAGTAAGCGCTCTTCCAAGCCCATCATCCGATTTTCACGGTACCTCAGCTTGCATTCTACGATTTCAATCTGGATACGAACGCCCAAAACAATGTCTTTACGATGGCCGCGTTCTATCCGTACTGGAGCGGCATCATTCCGGCGGAGATTGCGCGTAACAGCTCGAACGCGTTCGGTGCCTTTGCGGCTGTGAATATGGTGCTCAATAGATACAATGGGACAATGCCCGTCTCGTTCATCGAGACCGGGTTACAGTGGTGTGTTTTCGATGCGCCATGCTCGAATGTTCTCTTGTTTAATCAAGCGATAGGGATGCTCCCAACGCATGGCCGCCGCATCAATATATCGTTCTTCAAGCACTGGCCGCCTTGCCCTCGAATGTGTCTCAGGGGTCTATCCCCACTCCAGCTGCGGGGCAGAACACGTTCTCGCTCATCCCCGCTGGCCAACTGGGCCTGTCAGAATCGGCCCTTCCGCTGCAGAATTACAACGCGACTGTCAATGTCACTTCGTCTGGCCCCGTTGCAGATCTAAATGCGCTAAATGGCACTGTCTTCAATGGAGGCAACGCGACGGGCGGGGGCTGGGCCGAGGCCCTGCGAGTGCAGCTTGCCAATCGCTACTTCGCCAGTGCTTTGTGCAGTTGGTGAGTATCATCTGTCCAGGGTGTCCTTGCGCTTATTCTGGCATAGGCATGCGACCGGGGGCTCCATCCCGGAGTGCTGCCGCGCTTGTCGGACTCGGAGTTGAATGTCACTCAAAGTGTCAATAACACAGGCAACGTTCGTTTCAATATCTCTGCCTCTGATGTAGTCTCACCCCGTCCCCTGAAGATGTTTGAAAAGTTCTCAATCTCGGACATCGACTCTGCTGGTCGCGGAGGGGAGTATGTCGTGCAGGCCGGCTTTGGCTGGACAAACGGAGTCGTACTGTGGATTGCGAGCAACTATGGGTCCTCGCTTGTGGCCCCACAATGCCCTCCAGTAACACAAATTGCGGCTGCAAGCCCAGCGAGTGCCAGCCCTAGTGGCACATCGACTGCATCTTCACTATCGGCGACGCCGGCTGCAGCTTCGGCAACTCCCACTACCGGAGGCTCTTTCAACGTTCAAGTATCGGGATTGGGGTCTCTGCTTTCCTTGGCAACTGTGCTCGTGATGTACGCATTTGTATAGCAAATTTGTAACTGTAGCCCTGTGCTGTTCGGACACTGTAACTTGGCACGTGTTGATGCGCTCCCTTACACTTCAATCAATCAAGCTAGTTATGTAATCAACCAGCCCTGTCACCGTTCTCTGAAGCTCTCTCCCTTGTTCCTAGAGCAGTGCGAACACTTCGGTGGTTGCATGGTCTACCGTGACCATCTCCCTTCTTTGCCGCTTCCAATCAGGGTCAGAGGCGTGTATGTCACATTTCTTTGTACAACCCGAGAACAATAGGCACCATTGTTCATTGTTCTCAATCCATGCACATGCCGTCTGTCATCGCTTTTGTGAACTATAAGAGTGTTCGAGCGACAACGTGCCCCTCCACTACTTTCTAGATTCTTCCTTTTACGCCCGACACTCACTCGCTCCCGGTCGAGCCTTTCACGACTGTTCTGTCTTTTCTTACGACTCTCGACGTCCACACGTTTCAACTCCCACACAACCACTTAATACTCACCTGCACGCCTTAACGCAATGCTTCTTACCTCTATTCTGAGCGTCGCTCTTCTACTTTTTACTCCCGCGGAAACACGACCGCTTCGCACGCGCCAGGCCGCAACCGAGGGACTGATTTCGGTTCCTTTGCGCCGCGTGGAACGGAATCCGAGCCTGCATCCTGAGATCGTGCGTTCTCGGTTCTCTCTTGACCGAGTCTCTTTGACTGAGGTCTGTGCAGCGGCATCAAATTGACCTGAACCATGCGACGCGCATTGCTGCTAGAGCCGCAGGTCTTCCTAATCCCCCGCAACACGAGCTGCTGGCCAACCTTCATCGCCGCGCAGAACACATCCAGGCCCAACGCAAACGCTACAGCGTCCTCCCGGCCGGATTTGACGGGTCCGTCCCCGAATTCAGCTCAGGTGCAGGGAACCAGCTGGTGGCGGCCCAATCCTTCCAACCGTGGGTACCTGCTGTTCTATCGATGATGCTCTATTCATTTGTGTTCGCCAGTGCTTCGAATACGCCTGCCGTCCTGACCAATGACTCTTCAGAGGTCGATTCCGAGTGAGTGTCTCTTCTGCAATCGTCAACATGGTCTCATCTGCTATCTTAAAGTGGCGCCGACACATCCTTTGTGATGATCTTGTCCATCGGCAGTCCCTCGCAAGACTACAAGGTTATCGTCGATTCTGGATCGTGTAAGTTTTCCCTTGCTGATACCTGAGTGTCGACGAGGCTCAATTGTTGCAGCGGTTCTCTGGTTGAAGTCGGGCAACCATTGTGTTTCACAGGACAATCAGGGAACCCTCAGGGCTGCGTACGTTTCTCCGACTGAAACCCTTCGTTCGTTACTGAGCGGCAATGTAACAGGGCAACCACAAATTCCTCGATTCCTCGACATCTAGCAGCCTCATCTCACTTAACGATCCGTTCAACATCGTCTACGGCTCTGGCTCCGCGAGCGGTTCTCTTGTCAACGACACTGTGGTGTTTGGTGGAATACTTTTGAGCAACTACACTTTCGGACTGGCGGACAAGATCAGCAACTCCTTTGCGTCGGATGCTGTCGCTGACGGGCTAATGGGCACAGCCAAATCTGTGAGTTCTTTGGCACGCTTGAGACGCATGCGCTCATATGAGTGTCAGGGATTGGTAGCCTCCGCAGTGGCCGATCCGACCAAGCTGCCGACGCCCATCGAGGCATTGGTCAATTCCGGCACGATCTCTCAGGGCATCGCGTCCTATGCTCTGCCGCGGTTGGTGGATGATCCCAATGGCGGAGAGATCACTTTCGGCGGCATGGATCCCAGCAAATTCGACGCCAGCACAGCCGTCACCGTCAAATCCTCCGATACCTCTGCTTTCTGGGTCGCTCAGATGGATGGGGTGACGGTGAACGGCGCGACGATCCCCCTCAGCCACAGCGCCGCCATTCTGGACACGGGCACGACGATCGCGGTGTTCCCGACGGCCGACGCCGCTGCGATTCATGCGCAGATCCCAGGCGCTGTGTTCAGCGAGGCCACCGGGTCGGGGACTATCCCGTGCAACACGACTGCGACTGTGGCGGTCCAATTCGGGGGCAAGTCGTTCCCGATCGACGCCAAGGACCTGCTCTTTGCGTCGTTCGGCAAGAAGACTGGCGACTGCACCTCGGGGATCGGCGGCTTCAACCAAACGCAAGCGCTCCTTGGCGGCACGTTCCTCAAGAGCGTGTACATGTCCACCAACATCGACGACAATTCCATCACACTCGCTCAGCGGATTTAACATCCGCGGACTTTCTGACGACTTTTACGGACTTTCTTTTGCCTCATGGACCACGCATTTGTAGCTAGACGCAATCTTTAATCCTGTATTGTTAGCACCTAATTGAATTAGTGTATCGTTTCCCTCAGCTGTTCGCTACCGCTTCTGATCTGTGATCTTCGCATATGGTTTTCCCACGCCATCTTGATGTCGGCGTCAACGTCGAATCCTCCTGTGCCCCTTGATGTTTCCCCACAAGAGCACCCAAAGACGACACCTTTGAAGCGAAAGCGCTCGGACTCCAGCTTGTCTCAACTGGATGCAGGTCCCCTCAAGAGGAAGCTCCCGGCCCCGACACGGGGAAGTCGTATTCGGGACGACACATACTATTTCGACGATGGCAGCTGTATAATTCTAGTGCAGAACACACTATTCAATGTGCGCACGAGCTGGCACTCCCTATGAACGGTCGTTGACGCTTGGCATTGCAGGTGCACCGGACCATCCTGTCGAAAGGTACGTGACTCTACACCAGGAGATCAGTCTACTCTAATCTGCGGCCAGATTCTTCCTCCTTCCAGGCCATGTTCTCTCTGCCGCAAGGCTCTGACCTGGAGGAGGGACGCTCTGACGAGAACCCCATCGTCCTGACAGGAGATACAGTGGACGAGTTCCGCCACTTCTTTTGGGCGCTGTATGCCTTGTGTGTTCAGTTACTTGTCTGTCTATCCCGCGACTGATGCGCTTCCCAAGACCTCCAGAACTCAGTGTCATCCACTCGGCTGACGCGAATCTCGCACAGCTCATGGACATCACGCGGATTGCTAACAAATACTCGTTCAAGGGGATGGAGACTTGGACGCTGGATGCGATCCAGGAATATGTCAATCGCAAGCCCTCGCCGATCCTCACGGCTATCCCTCCGCCTAATGCATACACCTTCTCTCCTAGCTCAGTGTCTGCGCCGGCAACTTCGTCGGCGGAGAGTACGGCACAGCTGACGCGACTGGTACGGCTGGCGCAGATGTGCAACCACGAGAAACTGCTGTCCACGATGATCCTTCTCCTACGGCAGCTCATGAGCTCCTCAGTGCAGTATGCGTACCTGGCGATGACCCTCGCAGACGAATTGGACCTGCGCGTCTTGCGGGGTGCGGCCTATCTTGAAGTCATGCAGAAAGCGGTGATAGTCAAACGCGCGTCCGTTGATGGACTGCTGAAACCGAAGACGAACACCTCGACTGTGGCACCGACCGTCGGTCCTCCGGGTCTAGGTCTAAGTCTGGGTGCGGGTGCTACTTCCGCCAGCACAGCTTCGTCGAGCACGACGGCCGCTCTGCATGAAGGTGACGTGGATGACGAAGGCCGGCTTGTGATCAACTCCGCACAGCAGCTGCGGCTTCTTGCTGGGTATTACCGGCTAACGCGGACCTGGGAGCATCTGCGCACGAATCCGCCACGTTTCGAGCACGCGCCTGCGTGTGGGGCTACATGGCATCAGAATGGATGCACATCGAGCTGGTTGGATTTCTGGAAAGACAAGACGCGCAGCGACCAGGTGCTGGCGCTTGGGATGGCAGATGTTTTGGGCCGACTGAAGCAGCTGCAAAGGGATCACGAGAGATGGGGCAGTGCAACATATATGCACGGCGAGTGTCGACTGGCTGTGGGTTATTCTCTCATATTCTATGTTTCTTCCCGTTTCTGAAACTCCGAAAAAGGCTAGGAGAAGTATCGCGGAGACAATCAAGGCTGTTGAGGAAGCACTGCCTGATTTCTTCTCTGACGATCCAGATTAGACTGCGGACGTACACTGCCAGGATACATATTATGCGGCTAGATAATACATGGTATGTGCGATTTCGGCCAATGCTTGCAGTATGTCACTTGCGGCTCTTCCCTTTGCCTTTTGTCGCCCGTTTGGCGGGTGTTTTGGACGGCGTGGCCGGCCCGTTGAGCCCTTCGAACTGATACACGCCTTGGACCTGGTTCCACGGCCCATTCGTCATCTGCTGTTGCTCCAGCGTCAAGGATGTGCCCGGCTGAGGCATCATGCTGAGCATGACTGCGTCCACGTCTGTTGGGATAGTGTATTGCTCGATCCCTGCTTGAGAGCCCCGTAACATGGTTTGCTCAAACAACTCGTTATCCTCGATCTCTGTGACTTTGGCGCGGAGTTCTCGAATTATGCGTTCGGAAAGATCTGTTCATTGATCTGTGTCAGTCGTACTTTAAACGCAGATGATGATAGGCAAGCGAAGAGGAAGTGGTTTTCCCATCGGCGAAGGACAGTGCTTGACCTTGCCATTTCATTTGAGAAAACGAACTTCGAAGAAAGAAAGGGATCGTGGTAGAGGGACCATGGAACGGAGGCATACCTCGTTCCTCGCGCGCAGTGCCGGGACGTCGAATGAGTGGCTCCTTGTTGGCAATCTCCTCCTCGTGCAGAGATTGACGCAGTTTGAGCTTCTCCTCCATTTTTCGCTCAAAGGCCCGATCATCGAGCCCATCATCCGAGGTCTGGTCGGGACCATGCACGCTGCCGACTGTGCTGGCGGGGGAAGGGGCACGGACGAGAGGGCTGGCGTACTCGAGGTGGTGAGCTGAACGTGACATTACAGAGAGGAGCCAGGCATAAAGGTCAAGAGAGCGTAACAGCCAGAAATTGTGTGCGCCTAGTTCAAAGACGTTATGGCAGATAGCCGGAAACCGCTGGCACGCGACGATTACGCGTCTGTCACAGTCACACATACATACGCGTCTCTTGCACATTCACTTTGATCATCCATGGACCACTTTCCGACCAACTGGGGGCGACCGGTGCGTATTCTTTGGATCCCAAGTCTTCGGTAATTCAGAAGTGGAATCAGAGGAACGACGCAGTGGATCTTTACGGTACCTACCCGATCCACCAACGACCGAGCAATGCACCCAAGGACGCTTTCTCGGCCGGAATCCAGCACACGCAACAACCCATCGTCACTGGCACCAGTGTGCTTGCTATCAAGTACAAGGATGGAATCATGATGGCTGCGGATAACCTCGGTGCGCGCCATGACCCTCCCCAGTTGTGCGGTAGTGTAATCTCTGTCCCTCTTCTAGCGTCGTACGGCTCGCTCGCCCGATTCCGTGATATCCAGCGACTGGTCCCTGTTGGGAACTACACCGTCCTGGGCGCCAGTGGCGATATGAGCGACTTCCAATATATCCAAACCATCCTCGACGAGCTAATGGTGGACGAATTCTCTGCTGCCGATGGACACTCCCTTGGTCCTGCCGAGATCCACAACTATCTCTCTGAGGTCATGTATGCACGCCGCTCGAAGATGAACCCGCTATGGAACTCGTTACTTGTGGGGGGCTTCAAAGATGGCAAACGGTAGGCTCGATGATCCTGTACAAGCAGGCATACTCATCGAAGCCCCAGGTTCTTGGCGTATGTCGATCTGATTGGTACAACCTACACGGCATCCACGCTTGCAACTGGCTACGGCGCTCACATCGCCCAGCCGTTGCTCCGCCGGGCCGTGGAGGGTCGCGAGGAAACATTGACTGAAGATGAAGCTCGCAAAATCTTGGAGCAAAGCATGCAGGTTCTGTATTACCGAGATGCCCGCAGTATCGATCAGGTAGGCCCGCACTTTCTGCTTCGCGATTCGGCGCTAAGCCCTCCGCGCAGTATCAAATTGCGACTATCACTGCTCAAGGGGTAGACATCTCTGCGTCCCGCAAATTGGAGACGTATTGGTCATTTGCGGAGGGTATCCGGGGATATGGTTCACAGACGCAGTAAATTGTAATCCCAGGACTCGATATCGTTGAAAACTGATGCGGTCTACTCCAACACTTCACCCTCTTCGAGCTCAGATTCTTGATGCTCCTTGCTCTTCTGTTTCTTGCTCGGTGGTGGTGGTTGTGATGGCCCATCAGCCATTTTGTGCTTTTTCGAGCTCGGCATTGACGGTGGGCCGTTTGTCAAGTCGAAACATGGCTGGTGGCCAGGTGGGACTTGACCGCGGCAAATCATGAAATCGGCCACTCCTTGTTCAAATGCAAGATACACAACGGCCACTTTCGCATCTTGTCGAGATCCATACAGCGGAGGGGCGACATATTGCCGTGTGTCCGTCTCGTGTGGCTCGAGGGTGACACTGAGCGTACATCCATGTCCTGGGCAGATTCAGGACGCGCGGGATATGGGTGGAAATCACGAACGCCGATCACAGTCGTCAAATTGATACTGATATGCCACACGCGCGGATCTCACCGATGTGTACTTGCTCAAGAAGGCATAGGCCGTCTTGGACACAAAGCTGCGAGCCGCTTCTGGGACGGCAGTGACTGCTGCTGGTGAGCCCGAACGAAACTCACGCAGGACATTGCCCAATCCCTGGGAAAGGGCGAGGAGGGCGACTGCGGCCCGCGCTTCCTTGTACGTGGGACATCGGGGCTCTAGAAGATACGACCAGGACTTGGCTGCACGCGTCAGACGAATGAGAGCCCCGTACACTTTGATGCACCAGTTATCAATGTGTTGGATGGTGGCGGCGGACATACATACGTTGGCCAGACTGCAGGCGGTAGTAAGTGCAGAGCGCATTTGAGCCACAGCGAGACGCGAGCTTCGAGAGCAGCCCCTGACCATCGATCATCCCCGCGATTTTGCTCGAGAATTCTTCCGCACTGGGCCTAGCGAAGGACTCGAAGAAATTCTGGAGGTTCCATCGCGAGCCTGACTGGAGTGATGCGGGTAGGGACATGGGACACGACCGCGGTTCTATCTGCCCGTCGCCGTGCTGGATAAAATGGAGAGCGCCGTTCGCGATGGCGTTCCGAGCGCAGTGTGTTTTAGCGGACTGCAGATCTGCGTAATCCAGCTGGCTGGAGTAAACTCGGTAGCAGTGCGGAGTCAGTTCGATTTTCAGTGCACAACCACATACTGGAAGACGATCAGTCTCGGGCAAGATGGATTAATCAGTCTGTACACGCACAACCAGGGACAGAGACCTCATCGAAGCGAAACCAAAGCAGGTGGCTTGCGTCACCTCTCCAGATCCTCCAGCACTCTTCAAGCGTCTCTACAGCTTCCAACTCATCGGACGATGCGGTCGAGCCGTGTTCGAGACCCTCGTCGGTGTTCGATTTGAGCTTGAGAATCTCGTTCTCTCCAAAAAGGATGAAGTCAAGTGCACCGTCCTTGATGGCAGAATCTGCCGCTCCTTCGACGGCATCTTCGCTGTCTGGGAACGGTTCTGATTTGTACGACCGCGAAGGCCCTCCCGGTAGCTGGATGGTGAGGACGCATTGTCGATCCACCGCTGAATTAGCTGTGAGCTCTGATCGAAAGCACCCGCTGTAAGAAGGTGATGGATGGAACGAACCCGAGTGTTGCAAGAACTCGGTCTTCAAGACATCATGCGATTTTCCAAATTGGCGAAGGCAGGCTGTGGTAAGTACGAGGAGATTTGAGTCAGAGTCATGTCGCCTCGCAGGCTGGCCGTCCGGTTGTGAAGTGGAAATATTTTTCAGGCCAAATGACGCGAATTGGTGGATGGGGAGAGCACCGATCGACAAGAGCCTCCGATGAATCAGATCGGATGTTTCTTCGGGCAGATGATTCATTCAGAGCGCTCTGAATCCGAGCCGGGATGCCCTACAGACTCGGAAAGTAAGCTGCAGGGATTTCATGTTCGGGCTTTGCCCAATTGGGTCTTGCAATCAGCGATCTGTTCGGAGCAGATTTCAGTATTCGATGGATCGGGCGTGTCTTGATCGAGGTGGAGTCTTTGGTCTTTGTTGGACTTTAATTGGTTGTGAGTTACGTAACATTCATTCTGTGCCGTCTGGTCAGTCGCAGGTTCCAGCGGCTTGCGGCGCCGGTGAATGGAGGGTGTATGGTTGAAGGTTCGTTGTGCGGCTTAATCTCGGGCTGTAGGCGGATGAAAAAGACGAATCCAGCAGCACATCACTGCATCAATTGTTTCTTCCAAAACCACAAATGCTGCTCCACGCGATCAAAATCCGCTCAAATCTATTAAAAACTGCCGGATCGTCCATCTTGACACTGTCTGACTCACCTGGTGTATTCCGGCCGCAATGACGCGTCCCTCCTCATATCAACACCACGACTTTACATAAGCAAATTTGCAGACGGATGAAACAGAGAACCGCACATGCATGGCTTTTCACTCGAGGCCAAGGCTGCGATTCGCAGAAAGCTAAAAGATCGCCCAGACGGCATCCCCGAGGCTGCATTTGCACCCATTTACGGCACCGATCTCTGATCCGTATCCTCAAATTTGGTCATCAGAAAAGATTACCAAGACCCTCCTAACAAGATCGACGTTCAACATGCTCACCAATACGATGATTCATCCAATCGCGGTTAAAAAATATAAAGGCGCCATTCCTGGTCGCTAATCAGCACGTTCAGTCCTTCCCCTTCCTCCCCCCCACTCTAAAAACGACGCTATCATGGTTTGGGATCTTTTCCGCGACGCGGCCGTTGGGCAAATCGTCAACCGCCTCTCCAATGGCCGCCTGTTCCCATACCCAGAGCAGCGGCCTGATTTCGTCGTCCCCGCGAGATACCTCCTTCCTGAGCATCGGCCCGCGAAACAGACCGTGTATCCCGCATCAGATGCAGCAACACTGAGTGAAGAGGCACGCCCCCCTCGTGCTGCGCCGAAGCCCGACACAGAACTCAAGCGCGAGTCGACCTTCGTCACGCTCCAGGGCGATGTCGAGGAACAGAAGAAGGGTGTCGAGGATGTCTCGGAATTGCCGGACCCCTTTCTCGTTGGCTGGTATGGCGATGATGACCCTGAAAATCCCAGGTCGGTCGTCACCGCCCCGCTCTAACCGACGTATGTGCTAAATGTTCCTAGAAATTGGACTTTCCGCAAACGAGCCTTTGTCGCCTTTGAGATCAGTCTGCTCACCTTCAGCATCTACGTCGGCTCTGCGATCTACACGCCATCGATCCCCGGCATCATCGCCGAATTTAATGTGTCTTTGGTCGTGGCCACTCTGGGATTGACTCTCTATATCGTCGGTCAGTCTTCGCCGACTGAACGCCTATCGTCTCTTCTGATCAAATGTTCTCTTCCAGGATATGCTATCGGGCCCATGTTCCTTGCACCACTGCAGGAACTGCCGATTTTCGGTCGAAATCCCGTCTACCTTATCGGCCTGTTCCTGTTCGTCGTCCTGCAAGTTCCACTCGCTGCGGCCAAGAACATTCAAACGATTCTGGTTCTGCGATTTTTGACGGGCTTCCTCGGCAGCCCCGCGTTGGCGACTGGGGTGCGCTTCTCATTCCTTCTACAAGGTGTTGTCCTGACGCTGCTCTCAGGGTGCATCGATGGGGGACATCTTCCCTGGACCACAAATGCCCTATGTCATTGGGATTTGGGCCTTGGGCGCCGTCGCCGGGCCCATCACGGGCCCGGTCATTGGTGGATTCGCCGCACAAGCTGAATCGTGGCGATGGCCAATGTGGGAATTGCTCTGGGTCACCGGTTTCTCAGTGATCTTTTTGACCCTGCTGTTGCCCGAGACGTACGAGGCGACGATCCTGGTCAGACGTGCGGAACGGCTCAGAAAGCTCACCGGCA